CAATGTTAGTTATATTTAAATGCCTAAATTCCCTTCTTTTGGTCTTTTTAGGTCATGACTCGATTCGCCAAAGTAATCTTTTCATAACTAACAAGGGATGCATGGTTGGTGCTACGACAATCTTGAACTTTTTTTGGGCTTAAAATATTCTAATGGGTCAGATATGACCCTTTGTAAAGCCTTTCGTTTCGGAAATTCTCCGTTTCAAAGTTACAGGGTGTCAAAGTTGTTTTTACGTAGGTTAATATGGTTGTTATGCTTAATGCCAGTAATGTCGATCTATGATAAAATGGTGAAATCTGTTTTTTAACAAATCCATATTGCTTTCAATAGTGTTAAACTATGCAAAATTGATACTTTGACACCCTGTAACTTTGAAACGGAGAATTTCCGAAACGAAAGGCTTTACAAAGGGTCATATCTGACCCATTAGAATATTTTAAGCCCAAAAAAAGTTCAAGATTGTCGTAGCACCAACCATGCATCCCTTGTAAGAACTTGCAAGTCAACAAAAGATTTTATTAGTACAAACAGCAAAAGCAAGAGTAAAAGACTAACATTGTAAATAGCAATAATTGAATGACATCATCACATTTATACAATAATTGAAAAAAACGCGTAAAAATAAATTTCTTTAAAATTTAGACTCTTTTGGTTTGTATGGACAGAAGAACTGAGTCCATTTGTAAAATTTAAAAACTTCTCTGGTGAACAGTTTTCGAGAAAATCCATTTCAAAGTTTGAACTTCGATCTCTTTTTGTACAATTACGGAAGCAGATTTGATCATAAAACTAATTTTAACGAAGTAAATTTAGATGGCATATCAGGAAAAGGAGATATTTTGGTAAACAGTACTTTTATTTTTCTGTTAAACCGATTAGTTCGATTTTGATCTAAACCGATCTCTTTCTGCAATAATAAGATTTATCGAGCTGAAACTTATTGTTAGTCCATAACATTTGTTGTTTAATATCATGGATTTAATGCTTTTATCAAGTTAATAACAGTTTTCTTGATTTTGGCCATTCATTTTAAAACTTTTCGACCCAATATTTCGAGAATGCCATAACTTACAATCATAATTCGTTCATAAATCTAATCCTTTACTAATTAGAAATGCAATCCAATCAAATAATATTCCATTAGCTTGTTTGGCACATAATTTTTGGCTTTTAAATGGTCGATAAACAACTTATTTAACAAACTAAACTCATATTAATGCATATCTTGGTATATAAAGCATTTTTCTGGTTAAACTTAAAAATAGAATGTAAAAAGTACTGCTAAAGACGTGAAAATTTAAGTTAAGTTTTGAAACTTGATGGGTTTGTAGGGACATGGAAACCGAGTCTATTGGTGCTATTAAATAATTTGTACGATAGGCAGTTTTCTAGAAAATCGAAGTCAAAGTTGCAACTTCGATCGCCTTTTGTCCAGCAATGGAATCAGATTTTTCCATAAAACATATTTCAACAAATGTAACTGTTGATGACCAACCATAAAATGTACTCATTTTGAGAAATAACGCTTTCTTTTTTTCGTAAAACAAATAAGTTCGATTTTCTGTTAAATCGATGTTATTCGGTGACTGAAAGAGTTAAAAAGCTTAAACTCATCATGCATGTGTAAATACTGTTGGTGCATCTTGTGGATTGAATGCTTTATTCAAGGTAACAACAGTTCTCTTGATTTCGTCAAATTTGTCTCAAAACTTTGAGACTCAATATTTCGAGATTGGTACCACCTACAAGCACCATTCTCTTGCCAACTATTAGACTTTGCTATCGACTATAATTGAACATGACTCGTTATCGAATAAAATCTTAGCTAATTCATTTAATAATGAATATCCTTTCAGCGCATATTATCTTTGTTTGAGTAACCATTTGCCTTTAAAAGCAAGTAGAAAATTGAGTAACATGATTAATAAAATGCTATAACTTTAGTTGTAAGTTCTTGAATAATTAAGTATTTCAATATTTCATAGTTCATAGTAAAATCTCATTTTCGGTCAAAGAATGAAGACTGTTGATTCTACCATTATCGAAATATCAAGCCTCAAAGTTTTTAGGTTAATGATCAAAATTAAGAGAACTGTAGATAAAATGGCAAAAGTATTCAATCCATGATGTGATAAAACCATTTTTAACGACAAATACCAAGTTTCGGCTCTCTACTCTTATTGTTATCACAAAAAGTTCAGTTAAATAAAAATCGAACTTTTTTGTTTTACGAAAAAAAGAAAGCGTTATTTCTCGAAATGAGTACATTTTATGGTTGGTCATCAACAGTTACATTTGTTGAAATATGTTTTATGGAAAAATCTGATTCCATTGCTGGACAAAAGGCGATCGAAGTTTCAACTTTGATTTGGATTTTCTAGAAAACTGTCCATCGTATGAATCATTTAATAGCACCAATAGACTCAGTTTCTATGTCCCTACAAAACCACTAAGTCTCAACTTTTAACTCAAATTGCCGCGACTTTGGCAGTACTTTTTACATTATACTTTTAAGTTTAACCAGAAAAATGCTTTATTTACCAAGATATGCATTAATATGAGTTTAGTTTGATAAATAAGTTGTTTCTCGACCATTTAGAAGCCAAAAATTATGAGCAAAACACGCTAATGGAGTATTATTTGATCGGATTGCATTATGAATTAGTAAAGGATTAGATTTATGAAAGAATTATGATTGTAAGTGATGCCATTCTCGAAATATTGAGCCGAAAAGTTTTAAAACGAATGGCCAAAATCAAGAAAACTGTTATTAAATTGATAAAAGCATTTAGTCCATGATATTAAACAACAAATGTTATGGACTAACAATAAGTTTCAGCTCGATAAATCTTATTATTGCAGAAAGAGATCGGTTTAGATCAAAATCGAACTAATGAGTTTAACAGAAAAACAAAAGTTCTGTTTCACGAAATAACTTCACTGTCTGATTCGCCATCTGAATTTACATCGGTAAAATGGGTTTTATGATCTAATCTGATTCCGTTATAGTACAAACAGCTATCGAAGTTGAAACTTTGAAATGCATTTCCTCGAAAACTGTTAACCAGAGAAGTTTTTAAATCTTACAAATGGACTCTTCTGTCCCTACAAACGAACAGAGTCTCAATTTGAACGAAATTCATTTTCACGCATTTTCGTACATTTGTTTCAACTCTAGTTTGTGATTTAAATGTGATAATTGTATTAGCTCATCGCTATTTACAATGTTAGTCTTTTACTCTTGCTTTTGCTGTTTGTACTAATAAAATCTTTTGTTGACTTGCGAGCTCTTAGTTATGAAAAGATTACTTTGGCGAATCGAGTCATGACCTAAAAAGACCAAAAGAAGGGAATTTAGGCATTTAAATATAAATAACATTGGCAATGTGTCTCAGATGTTTCACGCGTTCTTCGATGAGAATGATTTTTCGTGAAGATAGTAAAGTATAAGTTATGTTTATAAAGTTTTTGAGCTTAGACTTTATGCAACAGGGTAATGCTGAAAAGTTTTCATTAATAACTTTTTTAATAAATGACGTACAATGGTTATCGACATATCAAAATGTTCGTAATATAATGGAGTTGATGATAGATGTGCTCAAAATGTACCATGGAATCGTTATTAAGGATATATCCCTATGTTTTTCTATCAATGCGATCGTTTTGTTACCAATTTTGTCTCTTTTAATATTTATCTTCTTTATTTAATAGGTTTCAAGTGTCTGATGATAATGAGAAAGAATTGAAAATAAGGCTGAAGGGTGGGACGAAGATTCAGAAGGTTTCAATGGTGTTTATGAGGAAAACCTTATCGGCGATGAAGAAGATCAGATGAGACTTGTCAATATGAATGAGAAAGAGAGAGAAATGGAACTATTTGCTCGATCTGAGAAAAGAGAAGTATTAAAGACCAGATATGAAATTGAACGGAAATTGCGAATGGCCAAGAAAAAAGAAATGATTCAAAGTCAAACTAAGATGAGAAGCAATGAGCGACGCAGAAACATGGAGAAAAAGAGGAAAGTCAAAAATGCTATTAAAGGATTGAAAGTTAAAGTCCATTTTGAATCAAAACTCATTGGAAACAGCAAGACAACAGTCGATGGAAAATATTAAAAATTAGGTGTAACTCTGACTTGACGCAATCAGTACAAATGTGTAGTTATAAGTCAGGCAATAAAAGACATTTGATGTTTAAATGAGAAAGCGAATTGAAAGCAATGAAGAGAAAGATCAATTGTCTAGACGAAAAAATTTTGAACCTTTTTGTTCCGCAAACAGTTTCCTGGAATCGTTATTCTAAGCTGAAAGAAAATCCATATTAAAATAGCATTGCAATCAATTTTAATAATTGGGATTCTCTCATGCAACGGTCATTTCGATTCATAGATTCCATCAATATTTTTGATTGAAAGGTAAAGTCTATTTTGAATCAAAATCCATTGGATACTGCAAGACAATAGTCGATGGAAAAACATGTTTTGACCGAAAAAAACATTAGATGTAACTCTGAGCTCATATCAGTGTTTGCAAATTATAGCATACATTAGCGCAAATCGTTTCAGTTGAACGATCAGTCAGGTGATCGTAGACATTTCAACTTGGAAGTGTGAAAGAGCAGGAATCAACTGTCTCCACAAACAAATTTTAAACTATTTTCCCTAAGAAACATGATTCTTCTGGAATCCTTATATCGAGCTGAGAGGCAGCCAAATTAAAATTTGTTTGCAATCAATTTTATTAGTTTTCTCTTCTGGAACGGCCATTTCGATTCATAGATTCCACTAGGATTAGGCTCGTTTAGGCACCTCACTAAACAAGGTCTTCTCCATTTACCGTACTCTTCTCGCGACTGAATGTGACGTACGATATTATGACTGGACGGTAAAAGAATATTAACTTTCAATTAGCTGCGTTGTAGCAATTAATTATACTGAAAACCGGACTCTTTCCATCATTGATTAGATGCTAAGTTCAAATTTTTAACAGTTAATCGATTAGTCGGTGATGCAAAGATGTTTATTTTTAATCAAAAAAAGACATTGGAAATACAGTGAAACTCTGATCTCAGTGTTCTTCAAAATATAAATCATTTATTTATCAATAAGTAAATATTTTCAATTTAATTTTTTGATTAGTTGCTTGCATATTTTCTTTTGTTTATGTGATGTTATGCAGTTTGATTCTGTATATTTTGATTTTCCGTTAGCCTTGCTACCCTTTACTTCAGGGCGAGTGATTAGAGTGGACTAATTGTTTGAACTGTAAATTGCAAATTAAGTCACTCTTCAAGTTTATACAAGTGTATTTTTGTTTTGATTTGTATAGCATTTAGTCCAAAGAGTATTAAAATTACTCTGATGAATTATTTTGGTTTGAATCAACGAAAAGAAATAAAATGCCTTCCCATCCATTTCAAGTTGATGCATGAGAAAGCTAATTGGAAGAAAGAGTGAAAGAGCTAACTGTCTAGAAGAACAAATTTTGAACCTTTTTTCTTTCGCAAACAGTTTCTTGGAATCTTTATATTAAGCTGAGAGTAAATCCATATTAAAATTACTTTGCAATCAATTTCAATAATTGGGGTCCTCTTCTGACACGGCCATTTCGATTCGTAAATTTCATTAGGATTTGGCTCTTTTAGGCACCTTAATAAACAAGCAGGTCTTCTCCATTCACCGTACATTTTTCGCGAACGATTGTGGCGTAAGATACCACGCTTGGACGAACAACGCATAAAACAATACGGGCACCTATACTTTACTTCTGCATCTTTGGCAGCTTCTTTTCTCAAACCGTACATCTCGCGTCTTAGAAAGGCTTCAAATTGAGGTCTGCTAATGGTACGAGGCCTTGCAAAGTTCTGACAAAAAAAATAAAATAAAAATAAATAATACGAACAAATAAAATAAACATAAGACTTACATCTGTGACATTATGCCCATCGAATTTCACACGATCGATGTTTGGGTCTGTGATTTCAAATAAATCAACATAACCTGTATACTTATCCCATTGAAAGAAATAATCACGTCGTGAAGGTAACGAACACAATTTATCAATAACTTGTAATACGTCTTCAATCATATCATGATGTTCGAATGATTTGTCTTGAATACTGACCCGACTATGCACTGGATTATTAACTGGATGATTTTCAGTATTTTGGCTTTTAGTTTCGTTAGTTTGCTGATTTAAGGTTGAAATTCTACCTCGACTTCTAGTTTTTGTGTTTTCTTTTTGCTCTTTACCACTTCCTATTACTGTTTCTCTTTCTTTTGGAGATGCCTTCTTTTTATTAATACTATTTTTCTTATTTTTAACAAGGTTGCGTGACCGAATGACAAGGTGGCGTTGAGCAACTTTACGAGGAGGTAATTGTCTTGTAACTTGAGCTGATGTTATTTTTGTTGCAAAAGTGTCATCTGAATCATCTTCTTCCATAGCTTCATCGTTGTCTTTTGCTTTATCTCCAACAGCTTCGTTCCCATCTTCTGGCTCTTCTGGGTTAAAATAATCTTCAGTTTCCTCTAAATCGACATCTTGATCATCTAAATTTTCATTTACCTTTTCATGGTGCAATTGGATGAAAGGATGACGGTGAGCAGCTTTACGAGGAGGTAATTGCCTTGTAGGTTGAGTTGATGTTATTTTCGTTTTCTTATTGTCATCTGAATCATCTTCTTCCATTGCTTCATCGTTTTCTTGTGCTTTACCTCCAACATATTGACAATCGTATTCTTGCTCCTCTAAGGCATAATGCAGGTCAATTTCTATTTCTTTATTTTTTGAATCTTGCAATTCTTTCTTCAATTTCAAAATTTCTTTTTTTTCTCGAGTGTTACAACTACTTCCTTCCAATACGACAGCTAAAATATCAGCACCCTAATTCGACGAATATTTAAGAGACAAAACGATAATTAGAACAATATGTGAAAGATAAAATAGATCAAAACTTACCATTTTCAAATCCAGAAGACCATCTTTAGCATCTTGTAAGAGGGATATAAATCTTGTAGTCAAAAGTCCCAATCTTTCTTCGCGTTGAACACTTGTTTCAGCATTAGACTCAGACATGATTAAAACAAATAAAATGAAAAAGAGAAAAAATAAACTATTATAAATATAAATCAAATTGAATAAGAATGTTAGAAAATTTGATAAAAATCGAAATCTGTGATTTAAAGACTAGCCGTTGAGGAGGCGTGGTTTTGTGCTTTTCAGTCCAAAGCAAAGAGTAATATCACTGTTTATAAATATATTACTCTGTTTATTAATATATTAATAGTTGTTGTACTCTTTGGTCCAAAGGATAAAATAAAAGAACGAGAAACAACTTGAGACTCTAAAGTTTACAGTTTTTCTGGTTTCTCTTGTTATCTTACTCATTGGTCCAAATCGTTTTGAGGCTATCGATATATCGATGCTGGTTTTCAATATTTCTTAAAGTAAAAAATATTAACTTTCAATTAGCGAATCGCAACTTTGCTGATTTGAACAATTTGCTCAGATTATGTTGCAATTATATTGCAATTGATTGGATTTTAAGTTCAAAATAAATTAAATCGAATGATCATTGACAAAAAATGTTTATTTTAAGCAAAAACCTTAAAATTCAGTGCAAAGCTGACAATTGTTTTAAGAAAAGTCAGGCAATCGTATAATTTTTGTTTCATAGAAAGTTGTGTCGCGTTGAGGTCGATTTGCGCTTTTAGTTAAACGATATTTTCAATGACAAAAGCTGCTTAATTAAATAAAGGTTATTAGCAAATTGAGTCGCTCTTCAACGCTATATTTTTGTTTCCCTGTTTTTTTCTATTTAGTCTGAAGAACATTACAATAACTCTCTGTTTTGATCTGAATTCATACAAAGAGAGTTGAAACGCTTTTGCCATCCATTTGTAGCTAAAATAAGAAATCAAATCGGAAGAAAGTGTGAAAAAGAAAGATCAACTGTTCAAACAAACATATTTTGAATCTTTTTCCCCTCAAAAACAGTCTTCTGCAACATTGAAATCAATGGAGTTATTACTAAAAAGATACAAAAACCTTTACGTTTGAAGGTTTAGGTCCAAACAGCACAAGCAAGAGTAAAAGACAAAAAAGCAATTAGTTAATACGATTTTCACATTTATACAAGAATTGAAACAAATCGGCGAAAACGTGTAAAAATGGATTTCTTTAAAAGCTAGACTCTTTTGGCTTGTAAGGACAGAAGCAATGAGTCCATTTGTAAAGCTTAATGACTTATCTGATGAACAGTTCTCTGGAAAATTGAGTTGGAACTTTAATCTTTGACCACTTTTTGTGCAATTACGGAAGCAGATTTGATCATAAAACCCATTTTACCGATGTAAATTTAGATGGCATATCAGAAAATGCAATTATTTCGTGAGACAGAACTTTTAATTTTCTGTTAAACCGATTAGTTCAATTTTGATCTAAACCGATCTCTTTCTGCAATAGTAAGATTTATTGAGTTGAAACTTATTGTTAGTCCATAACATTTGATGGTTCATATCATGGACTAAATGCTTTTATCAAGTTAATAACAGTTTTCTTGATTTTGGCCATTCGTTTTAAAACTTTGAAACACAATATTTCGAGGATGGCATGACTTACAATCATCATTCTTTCATAAATCTAATCCTTTACTAATTAATAATGCAATTCAATCAAATTATGTCCCATTAGCGTGTTTGACTCATAATTTTTGGCTTTTAAATGGTCGAGAAACAACTAATTTATCAAACTTAACTCATATTAATGCGTATCTTGGTATATAAAGCATTTTTCTGGTTAAACTTAAAAGTATAATGTAAAAAGTACTGTCAAAGTCGCGAAAATTTGAGTTAAGTGTTGAAACTTGATGGGTTTGTAGGGACATGGAAACCGAGTCTATTGGTGCTATTAAATAATTTGTACGATGGACAGTTTTCTAGAAAATCGAAGTCAAAGTTGCAACTTCGATCGCCTTTTGTCCAGCAATGGAATCAGATTTTTCCATAAAACATATTTCAACAAATGTAACTGTTGATGACCAACCATAAAATGTACTCATTTTGAGAAATAACGCTTTCTTTTTTTCGTAAAACAAAAAAGTTCGATTTTTATTCAACTGAACTTTTTGTGATAGCAATAAGAGTTAGAGAGCCGAAACTTGGTATTTGTCGTTAAAAATGGTTTTATCACATCATGGATTGAATACTTTTGCCATTTTATCTACAGTTCTCTTAATTTTGATCATTAACCTAAAAACTTCTAGACTCTATATTTCGATAATGGTAGAATCAACCGTCTTCATTCTTTGACCGAAAATTAGATTTTGCTATGAACTATGAAATATTGAAATACTTAATTATTCAAGAACTTACAAATAAAGTTATAGCATTTTATTAAGCATGTTACTCAATTTTATACTTGCTTTTAAAGGCAAATGGTTACTAAAACAAAAATAATATGTGCTGAAAGGATATTCATTATTAAATGAATTAGCTAAGATTTTATTCGATATCTAGTCATATTCTATTATAGTCGATAGCAAAGACAAATAGTTGGCAAGAGAATGGCGCTTGTAGGTGGTACCAATCTCGAAATATTGAGTCTCAAAGTTTTGAGGCAAATTTGACGAAATCAAGAGAACTGTTGTTACCTTGAATAAAGCATTCAATCCACAAGATGCTCCAACAGTATTTACACATGCATGATGAGCTAATTGTATAGCTGAACAAAACGCGATCGAAGTATCAACTTTGACTTCGATTTCCTAGAAAATTGTCCATCGTACAAATTATTTAGTAGTACCAATAGACTCGGTTTCCATGTCCCTACAAACCCATCAAGTTTCAACACTTAACTCAAATTTTCGCGACTTTGACAGTACTTTTTACATTATACTTTTAAGTTTAACCAGAAAAATGCTTTATTTACCAAGATATGCATTAATATGAGCTTAGTTTGTTAAATAAGTTGTTTCTCGACCATTTAAAAGCCAAAAATTATGAGTCAAACACGCTAATGGGACATAATTTGATTGAATTGCATTATTAATTAGTAAAGGATTAGATTAATGAAAGAATTATGATTATAAGTGATGCCATTCTCGAATTATTCAGTCGCAAAGTTTTAAGGCGAATGGCCAAAATCAAGAGAACTGTTATTAAATTGATGAAAGCATTTAGTTTATGATATTAACTAACAAGCATTATGGACTAACAATAAGTTTCAGCTCGATAAATCTAACTGTTGCAGAAAGAGATCGGTTTAGATCAAAATCGAACTAATCGGTTTAACAGAAAAATAAAAGTACTGTTACCAAAATATCTCCATTTTCTGATATGCCATCTAAATTTACATCTGTATAATGAGTTTTATGATCAAATCTGCTTCCGTAATTGTACAAAAAGAGATCGAAGTTTAAACTTTGATATGGACTTTCTCGAAAACTGGTCACTAGAGAAGTTTTTAAATCTTACAAATGGACTCAGGGTTTCCGTCCATACAAACCAAAAGAGTCTAAATTGCCAAGAAATTTATTTTTACGCGTTTTGCCCATTTGTTTCAATTCTTGTAAAAATGTGATAATTGTACTAACTTATTGATATTAGGTCTTTTACTTTCGCTTCTGCTGCTTGGACCTAAACCTACAAACGTAAAAGTTTTGTATCTTTTTATTAAAAGTAACAATTGACTTCAATGTTTAATATGGACTCAAACTTAGCCTGTATAAGTATTTCAGAAGATTGGTTCCGAGAGGAAACGGAGCTAAAAATTGTTTGTTTAAACAGTTGATCTTTCTTTTTCACACTTTCTTCCGATTCGCTTTCTCATTGTACTTAAAATGCATGGAAAAGCATGTCAACTCTTTTCATGAATTCAAAACAATGAATAATTGTAATGCTTTTTCAACCGTATGTATCTATGTACCGTACGTACCGTGCAAACTTTCTGATTAACTAAATACAATTACATAACTCAACCAGAACAAGACTTTACAAGCAACTAACCAAAAGATTCAATCACAAAGTTTATGATAAATAAACCATCAAAAATTGTCGAAGACTGGATTAGGTCAGATTTGCACTGAATTTTTAAGGTTTTTGCTTAAAATAAACATTTTTTGTCAATGATCATTCGATTTAATTTATTTTGAACTTAAAATTTAATCAATTGAAATATAATTGCAACATAATTTGATTAAATTAAATCAGCAAAGTTGCGATTCGCAAATTGAAAGTTGATATTTTTTACTTGAAGAAATATTGAACCACAACATCGATATATCGATGATTTCAAGATTTGGACCAATGAGTAAGATAACAAGAGAAACCAGAAAAACAGTAAACTTTGGATTGTGAGTTTGAAATTTCACGCTTTTATTTTACCCTTTGGACTAATCAGCACAAAACCCCGCCTCCTCGAAGTCTTTAAATCGCTTTTTTCATCAACTTTTCTAGCATTCTCTCAATTTGATTTATATTTAGTTTATTTCCTCTCTTTTCCATTTTATTTGTATAATCATGTCTGAGTCAAATGATGAAACAAGTGTTCAACGCGAAGAAAGATTGGGACTTTCGACTACAAGATTTATATCCCTCTTACAAGACACTAAAGATAGTCTTCTGGACTTAAAAATGGTAATTATGTTTTAATCTATTTTATCTGTTACATATTGTTCTAATTATCATTTTCTCTCTTGCATATTCGTCTAACTACATGTAGGATGCTGATAGCTTAGCTGTCGTATTGGAAGGAAATAGTCGTAACACTCGAGAAAAACACACTGTGAACAAAAAGCTATTTCCGAAGGGTAGGAAAGTTTACGGGTGCCCTTACGAATGTGGTTTTGTATGCAAACCAGGTATGAGATACACAGTAACACGACACTTGAATTCACATATTATGAATGGTAATCACAAAAAACCAAGTTGCCTTGAAAGAAGAAAAATGGAAGTCGTGTGTAGAGATGGTACATGGCCCAAGTCGATAGAAAAGCCAGTGTTTTTAGGAAGAATAATAGGAGAACGTGGTGGAGAAAAGGACAAAGTTTCATCTGAAAATACAGTTATAGCGTCAATATCTAGAGGAAAATATTATGCTTCTTTAGAGGAAGAAAATGAAAACAAAGTTCCAGAAAAAACAAAAACTCGAAGTCGAGGCAGAATTGCAACCATAAATCAACAGAATAACGAAGCTAAAGGCCAAGATACTGCAAATCGTTCACTGAATAACCGAGTGAATAGTTGGGTCATTATTCAAGAAAAAGCATTGTTCGAATATCCGCATATAATTGAAGACGTATTACAAGTTATTGATAAATTGTGTTCGTTGCCTTCACGACGTGATTATTTCTTTCAATGGGATAAGTATACAGGTTATGTTGACTTATTCGAAATCACAGACCCAAACATTGATCCTGAAAAATTCGATGGACCTAATGTCACAGATGTAAGTCTTATGCTAATCTTATTTGTTCGTATTATTTTATTTTATTATTTTTTTTATTTTTTTCTATCAGAATTTTGCAAGGCCTCGTATCATTAGCAGACCTCAATTTGAAGCCTTTCTAAGACGCGAGATATACGGTTTGAGAAAAGAAGCTGCTAAAGATGCAGAAGTAAAGTATAGGTGCCCGTATTGTTTTATGGTTGCGCTGTCCAGGGACATTATCAAACGTCACATTCAGTCGCGAAAAAAGAACGGTGAATGGCGAAGACCTTCTTGTTTAGAGAGACGCCTTAAAGAGCCTAATCCTAGTGGAATCTATGAATCGAAATGGCCGGACGCGAAGAGAAACCCAATTATTGAAATTGATTGCAGTGTAATCTCAATATGGATTTACTCTCAGCTTAATATACAGATTCCAGGATACAGTTTTCGAAAGCAAAAAGGTTCAAAATTTGTTCATCTAGACAGTTAGCTTTTTCACACTTTCTTCCGATTTGCTTTCTCATGATAACTCAAAATGCATGGGAAGGCATTTTATCTCTCTTGTCAATTCAAATCAAAATTATTCATCAGAGTAAAATACTCTTTGGACTAAATGATCTAAACAGCAAAACAAAATACACTTGAATAAACTTGAAGATTGACTTAATTTGCAATTTACAGTTCAAACAATTAGTCCACTGTGATGAGGCGCCCTGAAGCAAAGGATAGCAAGGTTAACGGAAAATCAAAATATACAGAATTAAACATCACATAACCAAAATAAACTATGCAAGCTAACCAAAAATTATATTGAAAAAATTTACTTATTGATAAATAAATGATTTATGTTTTGAAGAACAGTGAAAGCAGAGTTTCACTGGATTTTAAATCAGTTTTTGATTAAAAATAAACATCTTTTTGTCACCGATTATTCGGTTAATTGTTAAAAATTTGAATTTAAAATTTAATCAATGTTAAAACGAGTTTGGTTTTTAACATAATCTGAATAAATTGTTACAACCAGCAGTTGCGATCGACAAATTGAAAGTTAATACATATTAAGTATCATGAAATTTTTTATATTTGCTTTACATAATTTACAGTGTAAGTGAATATTTAAAATCAAAATCGATATATCGATATTCTCCAATTGCTTTGGATCAAAGAGTACAGATAATTACGTGTAGAATGGTCACGAACCAGAAAAAACTGTAAAGCTGAGATTACGTTCTTGGTAACTAAAAATTTGAACTTAAATTTTAATTTAATCAAAGATAAACAAATTTTGGTTTTATATGTAATATGATTTTTAAGTACAAATTAGCAAAGTTGCCATTCACAAATTGATAGTAAATATTTTTTACTTTAATTAATTACTTAACATTCACTGAAATAATATGAATTAACATCGATATATCGATAGTCTTAGCAGACGATCTGGACCACAAGATCACGAGAAAGCCAAGAAAAACTGTTAAGTTGAGAACGTACTTTACCTTTAAAATTAAACGCCATAATGTTTGATTAGCAAAACTTATTTTTGTTTTTTAACAAGTTTTACAACATTTTTATTCAATTTGTTTTTATTTAGTTTGTTTCTTCTCTTTTCATTTCTCTTGTATTTGTTTTAATTTAATTAATCATGGCGGAGTCAAATAGTGAAACAAGAGTGCAACATGAAAAAAGCTTGGAAATTTTGACTAAAGACTTTGAAGGACAAGACGATCAAGATGATCTTTTAGATTTAAAAATGGTAATTATGTTTTGATCTATTTTATCTGTTACATATTGTTCTAATTTTCAATTTATCTCTTGAATATTCGTGTAATTAGGGTGCTGGTATCGTAGCTACCGTATTGGCAGAAAATGTTACGAAAGAAAAAACTAAAATTTTGAAATTGAAACAAGAGATTCAAGATCTAAAAAATAAAGAAATTGAACTTGATCTGTTTTATGCTTGGGCTAAACAGGCCATTTCAAACCGAATTGATCTAAAAAATAACAATGATCATTTATGGGTTACACCTGCAGAATTGTGTAGCACTTTTCCCGAGGACAAACTTTATGCAATTCTTGCTCCTGAACCTTTTCCTATCGAAAAGCAGCTTCCAGGAGCTTCAGAAAAAAAATCAAACTTTAAATTAGTTTTAAATCCAAAAAAACCGATCGAAGTTATTCTAGTGAATCAGTATCCGGAAAGAAATGAACCAAATGTACAATCAATGTCAGTTGAATCTGCAAATTTACTTCTACCATCTACATCCAGAACTGATACCTCAACAGATAAATTAAATGAAAAGCCAAATGAAGATACAGAGGAGCAAGATGAAGATATAGAGGAGCATGAAGATTATTCTGATCAAGAGGAGCAAGAGGACGAGAACGAAGATATTGGAGGTAAAGCAGAGGATAAAGATGAAGCTATGGAAGAAGATGATTCAAATGACAATGATGAATCTAAAGTAACATCCGACACTGATTCGACAGAGCAAGAAGAAAAAATCGAAGATGTTGGAGGTAAAGCTGACGAAGTTATGGAAGAAGATAATTTAAACGAAGTTGCTTTATTAAATGAGTCGTGTGAAACAAATGATCTAAATGTTATTTCGGCACCAGTTGGCGTCTCTGCCGATTCACCTGCACTATCAACTACAACTGATGCCTCTGAAGGTAAATCAAATGAAAATGAAGATACAGAGGAGCAAGATGAAGATATAGAGGAGAATGAGGATTATGCTGATCAAGAGAAGCAAGAAGACGAGAACGAAGATATTGGAGGTAAAGCAGAGGATAAAGATGGTGCTATGGAAGAAGATGATTCAAATGACAATGATGAATCTAAAGTAACATCCGACACTGATTCGACAGAGCAAGAAGAAAAAATCGAAGATGTTGGAGGTAAAGCTGACGAAGTTATGGAAGAAGATAATTTAAACGAAGTTGCTTTATTAAATGAGTCGTGTGAAACAAATGATCTAAATGTTATTTCGGCACCAGTTGGCGTCTCTGCCGATTCACCTGCACTATCAACTACAACTGATGCCTCTGAAGGTAAATCAAATGAAAATGAAGATACAGAGGAGCAAGATGAAGATATAGAGGAGAATGAGGATTATGCTGATCAAGAGAAGCAAGAAGACGAGAACGAAGATATTGGAGGTAAAGCAGAGGATAAAGATGGTGCTATGGAAGAAGATGATTCAAATGACAATGATGAATCTAAAGTAACATCCGACACTGATTCGACAGAGCAAGAAGAAAAAATCGAAGATGTTGGAGGTAAAGCTGACGAAGTTATGGAAGAAGATAATTTAAACGAAGTTGCTTTATTAAATGAGTCGTGTGAAACAAATGATCTAAATGTTATTTCGGCACCAGTTGGCGTCTCTGCCAATCTACCTGGACCATTAACTACAACTGATGCCTCTGAAGGTAAATCAAATGAAAATGAAGATACAAAGGAGCAAGATGAAGACTTAGAGGAGCATGAGGAAGAGAGCGAAGATGTTGGAGGTAAAGCACAAGACAAAGATGAAGCTATGGAGAAAGATGATTTAGATGGCAATGATAAATTCAAAGTAACAACAGCTCAACCTAAAAAACAATCACTTCATCGTAAAGCTGCTCAACGCAACCTTTTCACTCAAATGCGTCATTGTGATTATGTTAAAATTAAGAAAAATAGTATTATTAAAAGGAAGGCAAATCCGAAAGAAAGACTAACAGTAAGAGGACGTGGTAAAAACAAGGATAAAGAAAATTTAACTCCAGCTTCCGAATCTAAAGCAAAAGATGATGTCTCTGCAGAGAAAGAAAATGAAAAAGAAATTCAACAAAAAGTAATAACTAAAAGTCGAGTCAAAATTTTAGGCTTAAATCAACGAAATAACGAAATTAAGTGCGAAGATAAGGAAAATCATCCAGTGAATCGCCGAGTTTATATTCGAGCCAGCACTCAAGACAAAGTAAACTTCGAATATCATGATAAAATTGCAATCGTATTACAAGCTATTGATAAATTGAGTTCGTTGCCTTCACGGCGTGATTATTTCTTTCGATTGAATCAATCCAAAGATGTTCTAAAGTTATACGAAATCATAGATATAGGCGTGAATGCTAAATTGGAAAAATTCGATGAACCTGATATCACAGATGTAAGTCTAATGTTTTTTATTTCTTCTTATTATTTATTGTTATTTTATTTGTTCTATCAGAATTTTGCAAGGCATCGTATTTCCAGACGAGCATTTGAAGAATATTTAAGACGCGAGATGTACGGTTCGGGAAAAGAAGCTGCTAAAGAGTTCCAAATAAAATATAGGTGCCCATATTGTTTTATGCTTTCGCTGTCCAAGTGTAATATCATGTATCACATTAAGTCGCGAAAAATTTACGGTGAATGGAGAAGACCTTCTTGTTTAGTAAGGCGCCTTAAAGAGCCTAATGTTAATGGAATCTATCAATCGAAATGGCCGTGCCAGAAGAGAAACCCAATTATTGAAATTGATTGTAATAATATTTTAATATGGATTTACTCTCAGCTCGATATAAAGATTCCAGGAAGCTGTCTGCGAGAGAAAAAAGGTTCAAAATTTGTTCGTCTAAACAATTGATCTTTCTCTTCATTGCTTCCATTTCGCTTTGAAAATTAACATCTTTTTCCATCGACTGTTGTCTTGCTGTTTCCAATGGATTTTGATTCAAAATGGACTTCACCTTTCAATCCTTTAATAGCATTTTCGACTTTCTCTTTTCCTCCATGTTTCTGTGTCCCTCATTGTTTCTCATCTAAGTCAGGTAATTTTTCAATTCTTACTCATTATGATGAGACAATTGAAGCCTATGAAATTAAAGGATTTAAAAAAGTATTTAAAGGTTCAAAAAGGGTGAGTTCGAGTGATGAAAAATCTTACGGAAAAAATTGCTTGAAAACTTGGCACAAAAAATATATTTAAAGTGTTGGATTTGGTGGGAAAAGCGGGTCCCGTCTTCGTTTTTTGATGTACTTTTTTATTCTACTCTGTTTCTGAATGAAAAAAGTTTCAAAATTTGTTTGTCTAGACAGTTAGTCTTTCTCTTTCTTGCAATTCGCTTTCTTATTGCAACTTAAAACTGAATAAGATATTTTAAATCTTGCAAATTCAGATCAAAACAAAGAATAATTGTAATACTCTTTGGACAAATAAACGAACAGAAAACAAAAATATAGACTTGAAGAGCAACTAAATTTCAACTTTAACTTTATACAAACATAAACGTCTTTTGTCATTGATAAATATCGTGAACTAAAAGCGCAATTCAACCTCAGAGCCACACTATTTTCTATGAAACAGAAATTTTTGACTTGCCTGACTTTTAACTAAAAAAATTTGTGCTAGCATTGATTATTTCATTTATTAAACAATTTTGCTTAACTTATTGATTGATAAACTATTAATAATTTGATTTATGTTTTGGCGAAGATTGAGCTCAGAGTTACACCCAAAGAGTAATTTTTCAATGTTTTTTGTTGGAAAATAAACATCCTTTCGCGTTAATTCAACGACTAACTATGAAAACTTTGAATTCGGAAATTCTATAATGAATTTAGGGTAAGTCAGGCGAAAGGTCCGTAAAGTCTATTTTCAGAGCTAAGCCATTGCATCTGGTTCGGCTTAAGACTGGTGGCAGCTTCTTCAACTTGGCTTATATTTTCAATTGAAAACAATTAACTTAAATTTTAAATCTTATTTAATTCAATTAACTTTAAAACACATAAAAAGACGCACCATGAACATTCTGAGGGTCATTGTTTCGATATCTTTCATTCCTCTAGTTTCAAAATGTCTCTATCGAATAAACTAAATTTATCAAATTTCGAATCAATAATTGTGTCTCCAAATGATTCTATCCCTGGACTTCAATATATTTTAGATTCTGGATTGATTCCTGATGAACTTCCTAAAAATTGTATTGATGTAAACTGTGACGGCTTGATGAAGCTGAGAAAAATTCAAAAGTCAATGTTAGGTAGAGGTTTTATTTGTCAAGTTTGCAGGAAACAAATGAATTGGACCAAAGGGACGATTTTTGAAAGTTCAAAATTGACGATTCTACAATACCTAAAGCTGATATTCTGTTGGTGTCAGAACAAGACAATCAGAGTGACATCAATGGATCTAGGAATTGGTGAGAAATGTGTTGGAATCCATTTCCAAATGCTTCGAATGGTAAGTTGATCGTAATTGTTTCGAAAATTTTATGCTAATTTTTTTTATTATTTTTTTCAGGTTTGTTATAACATTATTAATAAAGATAAAAAGATGATTGGAGGAACCGGAAGAATAGTGGAAATCGACGAAACTATGGTATTTAAACGTAAGTATAATCGTGGTCGATTATCATCTGAGCAAAAAAGACAAGTTTGGGTATTCGGTGGAATCGACAGGGAATCAAAAGAAACGTTTGCCAAAATCGTCGAAAAAAGAGATGAAGCTACCTTATTGGAAGTGATAAAAAGAAATATTTTACCAGGAACTACAATCTATTCTGATGGATGGAGAAGTTATAACAATCTTAATCAACACAATTATTACCTTCATGACTCAGTTAACCATTCTGAAAATTTTCTAAACCCATCAAATAAAAGTGTCCATACTCAGACTATTGAACGCAACTGGCGTTCATTAAAAAATAATATTCCTAAATCATCTCATGGACCTAAAAAAGATGATTACTTAATTGAATTTCTGTACAAATCAAGATACCATACCAAGAATGAACCCGCTTTAAACTTTGAGATCACACTAAAACATCTTCAAAACAACCCATTCTCTTTAGATCAACTCGATGTGTTTGATTATAATGCTTAAGTACTTTGTTTAAAGTTAATTGAATTAAATAAGATTTAAAATTTAAGTTAATTGTTTTCAATTGAAAATATAAGCCAAGTTGAAGAAGCTGCCACCAGTCTTAAGCCGAACCAGATGCAATGGCTTAGCTCTGAAAATAGACTTTACGGACCTTTCGCCTAACTTACCGAATTTAGTTTTTAATATAATCTGGTACAAGTGATTGAATCAGCAAAGTTGCGAGTCACAAACTAAAGCAATGATTTTCAATGAACGTGCTTTAAGACTTGAATTTAATAAATCAACATCGATGTATCGATAGTCTCCAAATGATATGACTAAATGGCTCAAACCACGCCTCCTCAACCGTTTGTGTTTAATTCACAAAATTCAATTTTTGTTATTATCAAGTTTTACAACATTCTTATTCAATTTCACTTGTATTTAGTTTATTTCTTATCTTTTTATTGTATTTGTTATAATCATGGCAGAGTTAAATAATTTTGTGAATGAAATCAGTACTCGGCATGAAAAAAGCTTGGGACTTTTGACTACAAGATTTGTATCTCTTTTACAAGACGCTAAAGATGGTCTTCTAGATTTAAAAATGGTAATTATGTTTTAGTCTATTTATCTGTTCATATTTTTCTAATTTATCATTCTCTCACTAAATTATTGCACTAATTAGGCAGCTGATATCTTAGCTGTCCGTCAGAAACGGCGAATCTATGATATAACCAACGTATTGGAAGGAATTGGATTAATTGAGAAGAAATCCAAAAATTCAATTCAATGGCTCGGTGCTGGACCTGGTTGTAACACTCGAGAAAAAACTGAAGAGCTTTTAAAACTGAAAGAAGAGTTGATAGATCTAGAAAATACAGAAATGGAGATTGACCAGCATTTTTCTTGGGCTAAACAATCTATTTTAAACATCCTTGATGAAAAAAATAACAAAGTTAATTTATGGGTTGAACATAAAGATTTATGTAACTCCTTTCCTGATGACACACTTCTTTCAATTCGAGGACCTGCCGGTTTACAAGTAGAAGTACATCTTCCAGAATCAAAGTTGGTTGAACCTTCAGCAAAAAAAACCAGACTACATTTAAAATCCAGAAACGGACCGATTGAAGTTTCTTTAGTAAATCAGTATCCGGAAACAAATGAACCAAATGTTATTTCAATGACAGTTGACGAATCTGCAAATTTACTTCTACCATCTACATCCAGAACTGATACCTCAACAGATAAATCAAATGAAAAGCCAAATGAAGATTTAGAGGATCAAGATGTCGATTTAGAGGAGCATGAAGATTATTCTGATCAAGAGGAGCAAGAGGACGAGAACGAAGATATTGGAGGTAAAGCAGAGGATAAAGATGAAGCTATGGAAGAAGATGATTCAGATGACAATAATAAATCGAAAGTAACAGCTCAACCTACAAGACAATTATCTCCTCGTAAAGCTGCTCAACGCCATCTTTTCATTCAATCGCGGCACCATGATAATGTTAAAAATAAGAAAAATAGTATTAACAAAACGGAGGCATCTCCAAAAGAACGACCAACAGTAAGAGGACGTGGTAAAGACAAGGACAAAGTTTCATCTGAAAGTACAGTTCCAGCGTCAGTATCGAAAGCAAAAGATGATGTCTCTAAAGAGGAAGAAAATGAAAAAGAAGTTCCAGAAAAAACAAGAACGCGAAGTCGAGGTAGAATTTCAACCTTAAATCAACAAAATAGCGAAGCTAGAAGCCAAGATACTGAAAATCATCCAGTTAATAACCGAGTGAACAGGCGTGTCAATAATCAACCCAAAACTCCTTTAGAATACCATGAAATCATTGCAGATGTATTACAACCTCTTGTAAAATTGAGTCCGCCGCCATCAGGACGTGATTATTGCTTTAACTTGGATAAAAGTGAAGGTTTAGTTGATTTATTCGAAATCAAAGATTAGTTGTTGTAATGATGAAATTTAAAAATATAGTTTAAATTAGCCAACTAAAAAAGCCTGATAAACATTCAAAATCACACTTTAAGTTTAAATATACATAAGCATACCTCATGCACATCCATTATTTATAAATATTATAACATTTGTATAATCAAGCTCCAACAAAGCAAAAAGCTGACATCAATTTGAACTAAGCCATCTCTATGTAAATGCCCAATATTTAATTACAAAGAAAATGTTAAATAATTAATCAAATTTATTTCAAATATTTCGTCGGTAAAATAATTTTCCCGTGATCAGAAACGAGTGAGACAAAATGACTGCTATAAGTCAATACTATTTTATTCACATTTTCAAAGGAAAGAATCAAAATCTTTCTGATATGATTTGAGATTTTTGATCTTACTGTAATTCAATCGGTTAAGATATTTTAATTTAAAAGTGTTGAATGTAATTAAAGACAAGTGAAATTATAGATCATTGTATCTCAAGCAAAGTCATGTTAATCCCGGAATTTGGTTGATTTTTGTGTTTTCAAATATTGATCACCCTATGGCTTGATTGTAAATAATTTCACATTACAACGTGTATCTCATGCTAATTAGCAATGAACAGATAAATCATCCTTTCCTTACTACTTCCTGATATTTGCCGTTTTTAGCTGCCTTCTACATCAAACGAGCAACTTCAACCACAGGTATTCTGTAATAACTGAAAGATCCCTCTAATCTAAAGCAAAACATATTTTACAAACCGTATTCGCTTGTGTTCACTTAATATATTCAATTTTTTTGATATCCTTTAATCTTTTATTATTAGTTGTTAATATTTATTTAGTGATTTGAAAATTTCATCTCTGAGGTGAGTATCATTTTATTCATCGAATTGGTAATTTGTGGTAACTCCTGGCTCTATTTTCATTCCGTTTTTTTATTACCATTTCAGCTATATTTTGCAGCAAGATTCCTCTGAATTAATAGTTAATTATGACTTCTTATTTGGATCCCATGGGTGACGAAGAATATCTCGAACCAAGTTTAAGGAATATACTGGAACTTGACTCATTAAAATGGGTTAGTTATCCCTTTCCTAAATATTTACCCATTCTTGTCTTTATGTTATTTTTTTCCTCTATACACTTTTCAGTTGTTTTGACATTTTTTCTTAATTTCCTTCTAGGTATTTGTTGGTGGCAAGGGTGGAGTTGGAAAGACGACATGTTCTTGTAGCCTTGCTGTTCAACTGGCAAAACGTAGGCCATCAGTTTTGATAATCTCAACCGATCCAGCTCACAATATAAGTGATGCATTCAATCAAAAATTTTCCAAAGTTCCAACACTTGTTAATGGATTTACAAACCTACATGCTATGGAAATTGATCCAAATTTAGGAGTAGCTGAATTACCTGATGAATTCTTGCAAGAAAGTGATCCACTTAGAGGTGCCTCTAAATCTGTTATTTCTGAACTTCTTGGTGCTTTACCAGGTATTGATGAAGCAATGTCTTACGCTGAAGTAATGAAATTGGTTAATTCAATGAACTTCTCAATTGTTGTGTTTGATACTGCTCCAACTGGCCACACTCTTCGTCTTCTATCTTTTCCTGCTATGGTAGAAAAAGGCTTAGGTAAATTGTTGAGATTTCAATCTCATTTATCCCCGATGATTTCCAATTTTGCCAACCTCCTTGGATTGACTGATTTTTCACCTGATGTAATGTCAGCTAAAATTGAGGAAATTTTACCCATTATTCGAACTGTGAATGAACAGTTCCGTAATCCTAGTTTAACTACATTTGTCTGCGTCTGTATTCCGGAATTTCTTTCCCTCTATGAAACGGAAAGATTGGTCCAAGAATTAACCAACTGTTCAATTGATACTCACAACATTGTTGTAAATCAATTGCTATTTCCAAGCAAATCCGCAGAGAAACCTTGTCAAATGTGCACTGCTCGAGTTAAATTACAGACTAAATATCTTGAGCAGATAATGGATTTGTATGAAGACTTCCATATTGTTAAATTACCCCTTCTGGACCATGAAGTTCGCGGAGCTGAAGAGATAGTGAAATTTTCTCAAAACTTGGTTGAACCCTATGATCCTGATCGACATTAGTCACATACATTTTGTAACATCAAATTTGGAATCAACTAAAGGTTCAAAATTACTGGAAGGCAAAAAGAATTAGATTTGATTAGAAAAAGTCTCACTGTAAAAGCTACTTTTTTTACTCAACATGATTTCTTTGGTGTACTTGGAATATTAAATTATTTAACTGAATATGTAAGAAACCTAAAGTTACTATCGCTATGAATTTTTAAGTATTTTCAGCAATCGCAATTCAACAAATCTATATCCCATAAATAAAATCTACTGTTCAACATTCAATATCCCTAAAGCCTATAATCGATTGATTTAACACGTGTACAATGTTCACCCAATAATTACCATAGGCTAATAGGAAAATCAGAATAAACAGATTAGCAAATGTTAAAACAAATTACGGTTGTAGAACGAAATGTTGCTGCCATTCAGGTATTGATTCAGTGTTACGGAATGAGTAATACAAAAAAACAGGTTTCGCATTTGATCGTTAGATGGTTCTGTCTGAAAATTTTGGCGTAAAAACTAAATAACGTTTTAATACAATCATTTGCCTTTAAAGTGGTGAATGTTTAAGACGTATACTTGTTTAACGGTGATTTAACGTGTCAGCCGAAAACATTGATCAACTAATTATAAACCGTTTAACTATTGTGTTTTTGGTTAAACTTTTCATTTGTTTAACCCATTCTTTTGAACGGAAAGTGTTTTCTTACGGAATATCTTAAGCAACATTGTCCACTTTCCGCTTGGTCTTGTGAACCTTTTTTTGGTTAATCACAATGAGTGGGACATCGGTGATCACCTTAAGAGCCTGCTTATTAATTTTAATTGTGATCTTTTTCCAACAACAATTGGCTCAGGCTAAAAAATTATCAAGTAAGTTTTCACCCTTTAAAATCTGTCTCAATCTACAGCAATTTGTAATCATCAAAAACCTGATTGATTCGAAATCAAGTTTGTCTCAATTATTCATAATGTCGAGATTTTGTCGTTTCTTTCTTTCTAAACTTCATTCACACTTCTCAGCTTTACCCTGAACTTCAACCTGTTTAACATTAGTCTTAATATTGTTTTTTTTTCATATCAACTATTGGTAATTGAAGTAAGATTAAAAGGTTTAATCGCATTTTGATTGTGTTGAAGTGAACACCAAAGTGAAAAATATTCCAGATTGAAAAGTAGTGCGTAAAGGTTGTTTACTCAAGGAATCATATTGTTAAAAATTGCGAGTTTAATTTATAATTGAATTAGTCAGGAGATAATAGAAATTGTGACAAAACTGATTAACTGGTCAAAGGGATAAAAGAAAGTAGATTATAAAGGCTTTTTCAATTCAAAGCAAAGTTTAATGCAAGAATCACTAGCAACTATTATAAGGTTTTACCTCTCCTAACCGTGTTTTTGGCTATACCTTTACTGACCTGGGATCTTGACGAGGTCAGACACACGCGATAATAGACTAAATGGACAGTCACACCCAAAAAAATAATATAAATAATGATAAATAATAAAGTTTGCTCGTCAAAATCCTTGAAATGTTTCTTTTTTTCATTATAAAGCACTTCATCAGCAACCTAATCACTATCAACATGCGAATGATAATAATGAACAAAAAAAAGTTTCATTATTAATATTCAATTGAAGGTTTGTTGGTTATTTTTTTCTTGCTTTGTTTCTGTTGAAATACATTATCCTTACTACCTTATTGTTTGATCCAGTCAAATGGTCAGTCAGTTTTTGTGCCGATGGTTGAGGGTTAAGTTTGATTGAGTTGATTTAATTAGCATCGAAAAACATCTTTTTGTTTAATTGTCTAACTTGGAGTGAGTGTAAAAATTGATGTTGGTTATACTGTTTTGCCTTTTAAAAAAAGGTTCATTATGATTGATCAATCGTTACTTGATTTAATTCAATTTGAAGATGACAAAAAAGCATGAAATTGGGTTTCTAATTATCTCCAAACTTATATCAATCAGCATAATCGTGAGTTTATTGAAGAAGCAGTCTAATGCTACTGATTACGATGATGATGATAATAATAATGTGATGACGAGGTAAACAAAAATGTGAAAAGCATCCTAAAAATAGTGGTTTACAGGGTTAACAACAAGAAATCACAAAAGGTAAACAATTGAAACAACAATTGATCTTTTGATTAACATTTGAATTAACCCAGGAAAATGTGTGATGTTGATTTTTTTCATTTTTGCTGCCAATTGACTTGAAAAGGTAGACAAATGGTTGATAATCAGGGTTTATAATGGCGATCAATTTTTTAATTTCATTTCAAGCAAACACCATTTCCCATTAACATATGATCTCGGTTTACCTTTCATTATTTACCATCAATAGTCCAGTAAAAAGAGACTTTGTTTTTCACCTGTTACCAGCTTTTATTGTAAAATAACTTGACTTTCATGAAATGAGAATCACTGTGAACTTAACCTGAATTCTCGGACATCAGCCGACTCAAAAAGATGATATATTTATATAAATATATATTTTACAGTATATCAGGTAAAATAAATTAAAATGAAATCACGTTAACATCTTTAACTTTTTTTTCTGAAGCTTCATTCTCTTTCTCTTTATCTTCCAACCTTACCTTGACCGTTAGGACCATTTCCCATCTTTAGACCTCAACCAATCGAGGCTAATGTTATCCAGTCAACCATTTATAAATTGTTGTTGCTCCTGTAGTTGTTGTTATTTTGTTTTTTGGTGTTACTCTTGTTACTTGGGCTGTTGTTTGTTGTATATTACCGTTTAGGTTATTCAATCTATTGACACCAATCACAAACAAAACCATTAGGACCAGATAAGACCGCTTAGCCCGGTTCCTTGGGTTTGGTGAACATCGTTATTTAGCACAAAGTCCACATCATCATAATCATCATTCTTATTCTCATTCTCATCATCATCAACAACAACAACAACAACTTGATCATCATCACCTGAACCATTATCAGCATGATGAGTAACAACATCGTTTAGTCAGTAAAAAAAGTGGCCTACAGTTTCTTGCTTCTCTCTTCTTCTTCTTTTCCTTCTGACCTAATCAATAGAACCTAATTAGCTAATAATTTTTAATTGATCTTTAATAATCAATGGATAATCATATTTACTGATCTTTTCTTTTGCGCAAAACACACAAAATCTTGAACACAATTTGTAATGTTTAATTGATTGACTAACAACTTGAAACATTCAGGAAATTATGAGTCTATTTGATTAAAATGTCAAACTTGTTAATGTTAAAAGAGACAAACCCTTAAATGTAAACAAATAAATGAATAATCAATGAAATGAATGAAAAAAATCACACTTTTTTGCTATTCCATCAACTAATCATGTTTTTCTTTCTATTTTTCTTCTTTCTAACTTTATCTGAATGGCTCATGCTGCTGATTTAATCTGGTAGATGGAAGAGCACTTTTGAAGGCAAAAACCTTGACAAATCCAAATAAAAAGGTTGTCTGCTATTATACTAATTGGTCTCAATACCGGCCCAATCAGGGTAAATTTGTTCCAGAAGATATTGATCCAGATATTTGTACACACGTTATTTTTGCCTTTGGTTGGCTTAAAAAGTCCAAAATTTCAGCCCATGATCCAACCGATGAAACCAAGGCTGGAAAAAAGGGTCTCTACGAAAGAACCACTGAGCTCAAATTGAAAAATCCAAAGCTTAAAGTCCTCTTAGCCATCGGTAAGTCCAAAATTGCCATCTTTTACCAAATGCCAAAATCGAAACTCATAACTGGTCCAACTTAGCGAAGCCAAAATATAATAGTACATTGTTCCCAAAAAGACCTTTGCAAATTGAGAAAACAAAAGGTTAGACAATAGATTAGGTTTAAATTTTGATGATTTCTTTGTATTATGATGATAAAATGATTATGATATAATTGAAATTAAATGAATTGTTCACTTAAAATTGGATTGAGAGTGATAAAAGGAGACTCATAAAAAGCATACTGATATTGTTGCGTTAATAATTATGATTTGTTTGATTGCTTTTGAAAGCAAAAGGATCTTTTTCTGGATGATAGTAATCATAATCACAATACATGATTACCATAATAATAATGATATATAGTTACCTTTACAATTGAAAAAGGCTGAAAACGTTGATTATCTTGAATTATATCCAGTTATTATCTTACGATTGGTAAGTTAAGTTCAATAACAATCCAATTGACCATTGATATGCAAATTAAAGGGATGGGTTGAATATTGATTATCATCATTATATCCATTTGTAGCATCATCAGCATCATGGGAAAAGTGAATCAACGTGTTGACTCTTTTGTGATTCAACATGCATTTATATCGACAATTGGGTGCTTCTGTGAAACCAACAGCTATTTTTAGCTACAAGAATGACAAAGAAAAAGGATAAACAACGGAAAATGTGATTAGAAAGCGATAATAATAGTATTAATATAATAAAGTAAATTGTAATGAAGTTTACGATGAAAATTATGATGAAAAGACAAGAGAAAGAGTTAAATGAATGAATCAATTCAAGTAATTTGTCGTCACCTTTTTGTTAAACTTCAACATTTCATCTTCAAACGCTTTTTCAACTTTCTTTTCTTGATCGAAGAAAAAAAAATCGTATTTCCCTCAACAATAATTTGACCAAATTCTTGTTGATTAACAATGTTTTGTATTTTTAAAATGTTATACACTTTTTTACGGCATTTTTCACGTTGTTATTACAATTGTTTTTCATGTTAAACAAAACACTCAATTTTTTTTCATCATCATCACCAAACAATTGATGCAATTTAAAGTATCAATTATATTCTTTGAATTACTTTCACTAGATTAAAATTTCAACAATGAAACAGTCAACAAAAGGTACAACCCTATTGTTGTTAATGTTATTCTTGGTGTTTAACTAATTGCTATTATACACAATTGTGGCGGTTGATTAGGGTTGAAAAAGAGTTGAACTCAGTCTATTTTAACATTCATTTGTATTTATGATAATTGGTGAAGGAAAATTGTATGAGAAAAACCAAAATTAGAAAAGGAAACTTGGATTTGCTCGAATCAATTTTCAGCTCCAATCAAGTTGACCTCCAGTGATTAACTACAATCAATTGTAATTTAAACTAATTTAATATTAGAAACAATTAATGATTACTTTAAAGAGAAAATAATTAAAAGCTATTTTCTCTAAATTTTTCATTTTCCTCATATTTTCAAGCTCTGTAAGTCTACTTTTCACCTTTTCAGGTCGACAAAGTGAGAAATGAAAGCTAATTTTAATGATAATTTTTTATTCGATTTACTGATTTCTTTTTGAAATTGTAACATTAAAAGTTATTCAGCTGATTGGCGATTATGAGAGAAACTTGAAAATTTCTGCATTTATCTCTTTTTCACTTAATTCAGCATATGACAGTAATTGTTTGAATTGTAAGATTTATTGATGAAATGATAGTCTGGATTACCGATCAATCTTGTTTCAACAATTATCGATACAGTTCCGATTTAAACAGCTCAACTCTTTTCACTGGACAACTAGTTTAATCTGTTCCTCATCAAACCAATTACTTTTACGTTAATTAAGTGCGATCATTAACATCAGTCATCACTTGGTTTCTTGCAAATGTAGCCGATATTTGAATGATGATGAGGATGAGGATGATCAATGAAACGTTTTACGTTCACCACGTTCAGCTTTAGTCAGAAGGCCACGCTTCATCATAATAATCATCTTGAAAACTTTGATTTTTGTCTCCTTCCTTCTTCGGCTTCTTCTTCTTCTTGTTTTGCCTCGTCTTCATCAATAGAAATAGATGATTAAAGAAGATGATTAAACAGGAAAATTTTTCAGTTCAATGAATGCTGATGGCAACATTTAAAATTTGACGAGTCAACTCTTCCTTCCAACAAAAAGAAGCAAACATTTTGATACAATTTTTATGTCAATCTCAAACAATCTTGAAAAAAAGAAAGACTCCCTTTGAAAATTGCGTCCTTTTTTCCTTGCGTTTTTGTGTTTTAAGTATGTGTATTTATGTGTGCTATTTAAATTGGAAAGGTTAAACCTGAATGTGCAATATAAGTCACATTTGATCAACCAAAAATGTTTATCCAACCAAACATAACACACACACACTTAAAACATTAAACTTAATAGACAACCAACATTTAAGATTGGTCAAAAGTTAATATTGTTGAGCAATTAGTAGTAACAAATTGACACTTAAATCACAATAGTCGTTACAACTGCAATTACCATTCAAATGTATTCATTGAGAAGATTCCTCATCATAATGAGTGAACAATCAAATTATTCATTCGATCAACACTAGTCCATGGTAATCAAACTTGCTTCTTTTCCGTGGCCAGATATTTGATCGAGTTGAGCTATAAGCTCAATTGTCCAATTAGTCTCCCATTTGGTTCAACAATAAGACAACAATTATAATTTGCTCCCAATTAGTCACCGAATAAAGCACAATTTTTACAACTGTTGACCACAACAGTAATCCTAAATCGAGTGAATACAAGTTTCTTTTTTCTACCTGTAAGAGGATTAAGAATGAAATGGAAAAGAAAATAATTGATATTAGTTGAGCGATTGATTCCATTCATCTTCAGTATTACAATATAATTAATATTGTGTTATCAAGAGTGTTTGTGAGAGACAGAAAACATAAATAATACTAATCAGTTAAATTTTTTGCTATTTACCTGATGAAAAGATAAGTATGAAATGGTTGCCGGAAGAAATTTTTTTACAGTTCCTTTACAATTAAATGCAATCTTTTTCTTTCTTAATAATTTCCTTTTTTTCTCAATAAACTTGATGGACAACATGGTAACCAAAACATATATAGAATGCTCAGAGTTTGCATACAATTGCAAGCATTTGATAATCAACCACTAAATGTGAGAAATTGAGTTGATTCCAGCCAAACGGTTTGGTTATGGTGATGATGATGATTAAGATGATGGTGCATCAAGAAGATTATTTGTTACATGTTTTTTTCTGTAAATTAAAAGTAAAGAATGATACAATTATAAATATTGTGTATTATTAAATAACCAGAATCAAGAAGCAAAAAATCATTTTAAATAAGCACATTTAGAGTAAACGGTAGTAAATTTTGTGCTTAAGCTTTCATCATGTGAATCCATTTTTTTGCAAACATACCTTAAAGAATGGTTAAGATGAAGGTAAGAGAAAGAGAAATATTTGTCAACATCATCATCTTGATCATGGATCGTTGAATTGCATTTTCAATTGAATTTAAGCTTTCCGGTTCTTACAATCACTCATATTTTAATCCGATTCTTGTACCTATGTATTTGCCGGTTGGCTGATCAGTCATGGAATCCAGTTTAGTTACTTTCATTTCAAACTTTGCTCGAAAATCAGGTTTCCTAGTTGCATGCTGAAAGTGAAAAAATATGCATTAGTACATTGATATTTGAATATCGTGAGGCGATTTAAATTTCTTTTTGTTCTGATGAATGAGCCTGACAATCAGCAGATTTTGATAGAGATTAGCTGGTAATAAAAAGTAATGTTCGTTTCCAGTGATTAATGAAAACGCTCACACACACAAATGCACACACAACTGACACGATAAATACTTTCAGGTTAACTGTTAATAATTAGTTTACTTTGCAATCGATACTATCTCTTCAGGTCAAACCTGGACTTTGACTTACTTTGTTAACCAAGGTAGGTTAACTAGTTAACCAACCGGCCTTACCTAATATCTCAATTATAATCAAAGTGAAATATAATTTATAAAAACGTAGTTTTAGCTACAGCTCTTTCGTAGTTTGCTTTCTTCATCTTGTCGCTGTTTTCTTGACCGTTGGTGGTGTACCTTTAACATTCAGATACAAAAAGTCAATTAGTTAGCCATACCTGGGTTATTTGAAAAGCTCTTGCTTATTGCTTGGCCAAAAGACCGGAAAATTGTAGTTGACAAAATAAATTGTACTATTTGTCCATAAAAGATGGTAATGATTGTAATACAGTGAAAAGAGCCTCCATTTTTAAATGTTTGCTGCAAATGTTTGCTTGAACTCGCCATTGATTTATCCGGGTTTTATTAGATTACAATAAAAAGCTGTACCGAATCTGATTGACGTCGTTGATTCGAAACTATCATGATTTCATGTGATATCTAAGGGAAAAAAGAGAAAAAATGAAAAATAATTAACTGGGCAACTTATATCAAGCAAACATCTGAATTTTTAGCTTACCGAAAATCACACGCTAACTGGACAAAGATTTAAAAAATTGTTAAAGATGATTTAGTTAACATTAATAAATCCGAGTTCAGGTAAGCCAAGGTTGCTTTGAAACCTGAATTTATCAGATAGAGAAAAAAGAATCAAATTTACGGTACATTGATAAAAATACAGCAAGAATTAATACATTGAAGCCAATAGAAAGGGTTAGCCATGTTTATTCAGCAATAAAAGCTGGTTTGAAAACAAGACGCATTTTTCTGTACATAAGGCTATAACTATGAAATGGTTAACCGAATGTCAATAATTGCAGGCGTCTGATTAGTGAGAGCATGCGAGAACAAAAAAATGAAAATTGTAAACAATGAAATTAGTTGATCATCAACAAAATATTGAAAAAAAGGCAAACAAAGCGTTGCCAATGTCATCAATACATTGAGATGCAAATTGCTAGTCACAATGGCAATTACACAAATTCAATATCAATACAAAACATGAATTGTACTTACGCTAAATAGAAGCCGACTAAATCCCGTTGACCCATTCATCAAAAAAACAATAAACTCATTAGTTGACCACAATTATTATTAAAATTAGACATTATGAAAACACTGACTTGCCACAAAAATTAAATTTGCGAGGGAAAGTAAAGTGCTTCCCTCTTTTGATTAAAATGTAATTACTTTTAGTCAATTTGTAAGTGTTGAAGATTGTCTTTGATCATGAATTTTAATTTATATTTTTTCTTGATTGTTTCTCAGAATTAATCCTCAATGTCAATCTCCAATTCAAGTCAAATAAATTAAATAGTGAATGGCTGAAATTAACTTGGAATAAATCAGCGTTACGTTGTTACTAAAATTACAATCTTTAATGAAATTCGTTCAATCATTAAAATTGAAATGACTGAATAATATCTAAGGTGTGACGATTTTTTCATTCTCATGCTATTTGTATTTATTACTGTATCAATCCCTGGAAAATCTGCACTCTAATGATTACAAAATTAATTTCTCACTTAAATGTTCTCACCTTGTTATGTTAGCTTTCAAACACCAAATCAAATCCAGTGAAATTATCCACCAATCTTTATGCTATCAACTGTATTCATTGTGATTCATAAAACTGACTCACAAACCATGATCAAATCAAAAATGCGATTGTGTGAGTGTTTGTTATTGATTTGAAAATTGGCAGACAATTGAGATCAACAACAATTTTTTCATGCAATTGATTTATTCAAATTGTTCGGTTTAATCTCAATCTTTACCTGCTTAATTAAGCACAATTCAAGTTGATCACATTGTCCAGACTTGAGATTAATCATTTTAACCTTTCTTGCTCTAACCATTGAAAATAGCAATGACTTTGGGTGTTTAAAAATCGACATGAAAAAGCAACTTCTCTACAAATTCAATGAAAAATGATTTATGAATTTCTGATTTCTGTTTAAGGCTTACTGCACAAATAATTGAACAAAAATTGACACTTTCGATTAATTAAAAGCGATCTTGAGCCACAAACAAATACAAAATTAATTGGGTTAACTGAATTGCCTGAAACATTTTTAGCAAGTTAAACATGATTTTAATTTTTATTGCAATCTTTCAATCGTTCATTGTTTATAGTGTTAAACTGTTATTGATTAGCGATAAGAAGGTAAAAAGGCTAATCAAACATAATCATCAATCAGCTCTATTGTTTGTCCATCACCAAGAAAATGTAATTAAATGATTACAGCGAGCACCTTGATTATCGAACTTAGTCAATTGAAATTGCATTTCTACGTTATAATTATTTTTCATCATTTCAATTCTCAATTGAATTACTCATTAAATTATCATTATCATTTATTTTTATACGTAAATTTGTTCACTTAGTTTAAGCTTGATTCTAATTTCTTTTTAATTCCCTTCAAACCTTCATTTAGTTAACCCTGTTTAAAAATTACTGTTTTTTGTATCACTGATCATATTCAATTGAGAAGAAAAAACATTTAATTAACTCATAATCACAATAACGGTTATTAAATTGATTTTAACCGCAGGTAACTTTGCTGTTATTTAATAGTATAACTTAATAAAGTTATTATCAATAATACAAGTTACTTTACCAAACAAATGTTAATCATTTTAATCATGATGATGGCAATCACATTTTAAGCGTTATATTGAAAAAATAACATTTAATATTCAAATCAACCAGTGAATGGTCATGAAATTGTAACTCCTGTAAATTTTGTTGTTTATTTTTGATCAATTGTTGCACTAATAAATTATAAATTTTCCGAAATAACAAAAAATTCATTCTAGACATTAACTAATCAGGTTGTATCAATGAGAAGCTGTCCAATGATTAGTAAATAAATAAGCTTAACCTTGATTCCAAACCAGAACCCAGTTTACCACCCTTAAATCTCGATCATCTTGGCTTTTTAATGATCGGTTAACCTTGCTTTGGTAGATAATTAAACTGATTGCCTTGGTTAATAACCACATATTTTTTTCCGATTAGTTAAAGAAATCTAGTTACTTTTTCCACGATTCTTGATAAGTTGGGAGAGGTCGATTCTTGTCAGATAATCAGGCTTTCATGGTCACTTCTTGTTGCAAACTGTATTTTTTGCTTTTCATTGATATTAAATCAAGTAAGATGATGAAGCTAAATCCATGGATAAAGATTAATTGTTTTTATTGCGTCTGGAATAGCTCGTTTATTTTGAATCCTTTCAAAAATGCTTACAATCCTACGTAATCTCAATCCTTTGTTGGCTTGTTGACCATCAACCTTTTTTTAGCAATTTTCATGGATAGTTTAAATTGATTTGCCCAAATCTGGTCCATATTTTGATAAGAATGGGTATGTCTTGCGTTTGAAATACTTGGATTATCTAATGAAGTACAAACTTAATGGTTACAATTTAGACTTTGATATAAGAATCAATAGATAGTGACCTTAACCTATTGATGAGTTTCGAAGTAATTGGCTTACTTAAAAAAATGGAATGTTGAACTGATGAATTGATTTACTAATTCTTCTTCATGTTTTCTTTTCTCTCGACCTTTTCATTCAGGTGGTTGGACTTTTGGAACTGAACGATTTAAAACTTTGAGCTCCAATGCTTATAATAGGCGTTTATTCATCTTCAGTGCCATGGAATTTTTAAGAGAACGAAACTTTGATGGTCTCGATTTGGATTGGGAGTTTCCAAGGGGAAAAGAAGACAAGCAAAATTTCGTCGATCTTGTTAAGGTTGGTGATATAATCCTTGAAGTCATGATTAATCCTCAATCTTAACTTTTATCAACAATTAGTTTATTCACCAATAATTCTTTCTGATATCAGTTTCTCTTCCATCTTTATCGCCATCTCCACCTAAAGTCCAATCCCTTTTTTATGTCGATTTCTTTTCCTCTTGATTCACTTCCTAGTTGTCTCAACTCCTTTCTTAAATCAATGTCTTTAATAATTTGAGTATTTTTTGCCCTCTTTCATTCTTCTTTTTCTATTAATCAATTTACTTGGATTCAAACCAGGAACTAAGAGAAGCCTTTGAAGCGGAAGCAAAGGAGAAGAAACTTCCTCGACTGTTACTGACCGCGGCTGTTTCAGCTGGCGCTGATACTATTAAATCAGGCTACGATGTACCTGCTGTTGCAGCGTAAGTATAACAACCCTGAAAAGAAAGAGAATAAAATAGAGATGAAACATCTTAAGACAGTAAAAATTCATAAAAAAATGTGATATTACATCAACACAATTAGGCCACAATTAACGGCATCAATGCAGCAAAACGATGCGTGTAAACACAAATATAATCTTATTGCCGTAACCGTCAGTATAAATGGAAATAGTAGCCATATCAAATCACCCCAGCATCATGTTGCTATCACTGCTGCTATCTTGTCTTACTTGATGTTTCTTCTTGTTTTATTGTTTCCACTTGAAATCCATGAAATTTAACATCAGATAAAATCAACCAATTTTCTTGAGCTTTAATTTTAATTCTTTTGTTTGGCTTCTTTTTCTTATTTTTATTCCAATTCCAACCATCTAGATATCTTGACTTTCTGAACATCATGTCGTACGATTTCCATGGGAAGTGGGAAACTAAAACAGGTCATAATGCACCGCTCTATGCCCAGGCAAACGAGAGTGAATGGAGAAAGATGCTTTCTATAGTAAGTTGATGGATCAATGAAATATCCGGCATCAGCACAACAGGCTTGTTAGCGATATTTTACCAAATCGTTGTTTTACCTCAGCAAACAATCAGTCGGAATATTTTAGCTGATAATCCATCATATCCTTGGAATGACACAATTTGTCGAAGGAGAATTAATCTTTCATGTTTGATCTCAATGCCAGACGAATATCATGATTATTGAACTAAAGACAACTTTTATTTCATAACAAACATGTTAACGAGAACTGGTTCAGCTTTAACTCCTTTATCCTGGCTGACTAGAAACAGAAAATGAAAAATTAGTATTTTACATTCATGTTTGATAGCAAGTTAGCTTTTGAAACAAATCTTACCACGATCATTGAGATTAACACGAAATTTTGACGATCATGAGAATTTTGATCTTAATTGAAAATTATCTTAGCAATCATTGAAAACAAACACGAAAGCATAGGCTAATTCACAAACATACAGACATCATAAAAATAATTTAAAAACTCTTAGCCGGACCAGCAAGCTCTTAACACTTGTTACACAATTTTTAACTCAATCAGATGAATTGACACCTCAGTATAAACAACCTGTTCATTTTTCGGGTGAAAAAAACTTCAAACTTTGAACAATCGAAAGTTCAATTAACTTAATTGGATCAAATAATTACACAATACCAAAATGAAAATTATAACAAAATTATAAATTTTAAAAAACGGTTTTTTACTTTTAGTAATGTAATGCCATCTACCGGTTTAGATTCAAACTAATATTTGACAATTTTATCAACAAACAGCTTTTTAATAAGAGTCTATTATTAATAGTTAGTGAAATACTTACAGTCATTTTATTGCTAAAAGTGCTTTGGTTACATTCTAAAGTGCTTTAATTACTTATGAAATCTGGAATCTGATCGGAATGACATTCCAAACTTTCGTTAATATGCGAAGTTTACAGTCTTCTTAGTTAACTGTGGATTTAATACATTCTCTACCGCTGTTTGCCGCTGGAAAATTGAAAAATGAGATATTGTTCAGCTCATTATATTTTAGAATTGTAATTCTAATTTTGTCTCTTTTTACATTATTCTAGGATTATGGAGTCAAATTATGGGAAAAATTGGGTGCTCCGAAAGAAAAAATTGTCGTCGGAATGGCTACTTATGGTCGTAGCTTTACTTTGTCTTCCCTTCAACATCATGGAATGAATGCTCCTTCTGCCGGTGGCGGGAAAGCTGGTGAATTCACAAGAGAAGCTGGTTTCTTGGCGTTTTACGAAATTTGTGATCTTCTTAAGGACGGTGCAGCTTCTTATCTTTGGGATGATGAGCAAAAGGTACCCTACTTGGTTGCTGGTGATCTTTGGGTTGGTTTTGATGATGAAAGGTCTATCCGAAACAAAATGAAATGGATCATTGATAACGATTATGCCGGAGCTATGGTTTGGACTGTTGATATGGATGACTTTACCGGTCGTTGTTCAGGAGTTAAATATCCATTAATCGGTATAATGGCAGAAGAGTTAATGGGTAGACCAACTCCTCAATCTTCATTTAATGCTATCGTTAAAAAAGCTTCTTCTCGACCTTTAGCTACAATTAAACCAACAACTCCCAGTGCTGAAAGTAATTTGATTGAGAAAAAATCAGATCTTGGAACAACCATATTGCCTGATAACGCAATAACGGAATCTGAGGTTGATCCAAATTCAACCAATGCTCGGATAGTTTGCTATTTCACCAAATGGTCACAAAAACGTCCAGGAGCTGGTAAATTTGAGCCAGAAAACATTGATCCAACACTGTGTACACACCTTGTTTATGCTTTTACCGGCTTGAAAGATCATAAATTAGATGAAGACTCTGAAGATCCAGCCATACTTGCATCATTAGTTAAACTAAAAGAAAAAAATCCAGACTTAAAACTATTGTTGGCAGTGGGAGGTTGGATGGTCGGTCCAGCTCCGTTCAAGGCATTAACTGAAAATGTCTATCGTCAAACCTCTTTCACTTTCAGTACTATCGAATTTCTGCGAAAAATCGGCTTTGATGGTTTAGATCTATGCTGGGAATTCCCTCGTGGACCAGACGATAAAGCAAAATTCACCGGACTCATCAAGGAGCTACGTGAAGCTTTCGAAGGAGAAGCCAAAGGATCTAAAAAGTCTAGATTATTATTAAGTGCTGCTGTTCCAGCTAGTTTCGAAGCAGTAGCTGCTGGATATGATGTCCCACAATTGAACAAGTGAGATAAATCACCACTCATCAAGTTACCAGTTTTTACTTTTAATCAAATCAAGAATCTTTGCTTCAAGGTTTCATCTTATCTTCTGAACTGGACTGATCAGTCAATCTTATATGATATAATGATTGCTTGAATCAATCCTTGTATTAATTTAGTTAATCCACTATCTGTATGCTAATTTTCAGCATTTCATTGATTTGATTTCAAGTTAATTTCAACTTTACTCAATCATTTTCACTAATTTTCCATATTTTTTACTTTATTTTTAGTTTTCTGGATTACATGAGTGTCATGACATATGATTTTCATGGAGACTGGGAACATGCAGTTGGTCATAATAGTCCACTCTTCCCATTAAATAGTGCCACTGGTTACCACAAAAAGCTGACAGTGGTAAGTTCAACAAGTATCAAGGTTAGGTTAAAGTTGTGAGTTTTCCTCCTCGATTAGACCCACAACGTGATCTCGTTCATTTGTGTAATCCACACGTTTTGTTCGTATTTTGTTGTCAAACCTTATCTCCAATCATTCCATTTATTTCTGTCAAGTATTACCTAATGATGTTCAAAATCACAGCTTGATTGAGAGGGTAATTTTGAGTGTATTCATTAACCTTTTAAAGTCAAATCAGCAACAGTTGTAAATATTATCCCAAAATATGATAGTTATCGGCAGTTGATCAAGAAAAGTCAGTTTGATTATCCTTCATACTTTTTACCTTTTCAATTTTCCTCTCTATTGATTATGATGATCAGTTTAATCTAATCTTGACTGATTTCCTGTCTAATTAGTAATTACATGATTGTGGGCGAAAATTTATGATGCTTCCAATTTACTAGCCTTAATCTGTGAGTTCTGACCTTTTTTCAATAAAACTTGATCTTGATCAGATCTCAATTATAAGATGTATCAGCCTTTTCACAAGATGGAAACTCTTTACAGAAAACGATAATCATTAAGAATTGAAAATAAATCATTAGATGGCCATAATTTTACATTCGTCGGTCAAAGACTTTGGATGAATTTACATTAATCACACCTACTGATTTACTCTAATCATCGGAAAGCAGAGAAAAGTTAATGAATTACTAGGCATAGCTAATTAATATCAATTACTTATCAAAATTTAATACAATTTACATTTTACATAGAATTAAAAAAAACATTTTCTCAAGCATTGAAGTTGACCTTTAGGAAAGGTTAATGTCATTTATCAAGGTAAATGATCAAAATAAACGAAAAAAGATCTTTGATTCTAGGCTGTCTGGTTGATTAAATTTTAACATATTTCAAGTCTAATTGATAATTTGTTAAACATTTTTCAATATGTTATTCCATGTTTGCCATTTTCATTGTCTACCAACATCCCATCACTTTAATCCTGGATCCATCTCAATCTTCATCATCCTCATCATTTCCTTCTATTTTCATGCTTCACACTAATCCTCTTTATTTCATCTCTTCCCATAACAGGATTTCAGTGTCTCTGAATGGGTCAACAAAGGAGCCTCAAAAGAGAAACTGGTTGTTGGCCTACCAACTTATGGACGAACCTTTACTCTCCAATCGTCTAATTTAACTGATATTGGAGCACCAGCTATAAAAGGAGGTTTACCGGGTCAATTTACCCGTGAATCTGGATTCCTTTCATTCTTTGAAGTAAATAACCATTCAATGTTTCCACCAGCAATTTATCCAGTTGTTTCAGTGAAATAGCATTGTTGTGCTTACAAATATTAGAGTATTCAATGTAATATAAACTCATTCAACTGATGCTGGTTAAAACCCTTTTATTACAGTTTGAAAACATAATTTGAGTTTATCAATATTCATCAATAGTTGTTTAAACAATCAGTTTTGGATTATGGCCCATTAGCATATTAGGTTACAATCTTGTCAAACTTAACCGAAAGTAATTTCAATTGCTGACAATTTGTCAAATTGATTGATCTTATGCTCAGTAATCTATGTCCTGAATATATTCAGTAATGGTTATATCAACAGAGATACAAAAATATGTTCAAAAATGGAGCTGAAATTTCCCATTCTGTTTAAACGGTCCACTTAACGTAAAATCGCGTCAAACTCAATTTCGTTACTTTTATGTCGCAACTTATGTCAATCGATGTAAATATTCATCTAAATTACTGATAATTTTTATATTTCTTTTTTTTTGTATTAATCATTAGGTCTGTGATTTACTTAAACAAGGAGCTACTTTAGTATGGGACAATGAACAAATGGTTCCTTATGCATATAAAGACGACCAATGGGTTGGTTTTGATGATCTCCGTAGTTTTAAAATTAAGGTAAACCCTAACTTGCATTTAAATCTATTCCTAAAAGTGTAGATGGTTTTAAGATAAAAAATAATGTTTTCTGTATGAATGAGTGGTGGTACTTTATTTGTAACGATAACTATCATACATACGTACTTGAAGCTGGAAATAAACACAAACTAGATCAGATTTACCATTACCATTATTCACCAGGAAGATTAACCAATTAAAAATTGATTTTCTCGACAAAATAAAGCTCAGCTATAATATAAGGTCAATATACTTTGAGTTGTAGAAGAAGAAGTTAAAGCTTTTCCCACTTCTTTAATTACTAATTTCCTCTCTCATCTTTCCATTCCACTTTACCATCATCATGATGATTACCACCATCTCTTCTTGGTGTCTTATCGTTACTTGCCTGAGTCCATAGAGAAGACAGGTCAACGTCTTTCAGTTGAAACCTTGATTTTGAAGATGTTGAGATAAAATTGCGCCTTTTCTTTCTTGTTTTTTTACAATTCCTCCTTTTTTCCTCCAAATTTGCATCATATTTTCACTCTTTGTTCATTCATTCATTGAGCTCTTACTTTTTTATGCTAATTAACCCTCTTTTTTCTGTTATCGTTCATACAGGTTCAATGGTTGAAACAAGCTGGTTACAGCGGTATAATGATCTGGTCTATTGACATGGATGATTTCCGAGGAACCTGCATGGGTTTCAATTATCCATTGATAAATTCAGCAAAAGAAGAGCTAAGAGGTTATCGAGTTGCTAACCTGGAAACCTCAAGTAGTACATTAAATAATGCAATTGGCCAAAAACTAGGTAAGCCAGGATTAAAATAATGAGGCTAATTGATTAATGTATTATTAATATTTCCCCATTTCTCCCCATAAATTAGATAAAGATGAAGTTGTCTGTGAAGAAGAGGATGGACACATTAGCTATCATAAAGACAAAAAAGATTGTACAATGTATTATATGTGTGAAGGGAAACGTAAACATCATATGCCTTGTCCCCAAAACCTTGTATTCAACATTAAGGAAAATGTTTGCGATTGGCCTGAGAATGTTGAAGAATGTGCAACTGCAGCAGCACCCAAATAATTATAACTCAATACTTATATTACCAAGTTAATTGCATGTAATAATAAGCAAATGGAACACACACACACACACATAACATACACTAGCAACATATAACTGTAAACAATTCATCATTTTTTACTCTACAAATTAACGACAAGCAAGCAACAACAACAACAATCCATCATTTGCATTTTGTGCCCCATCGTATTCACAAGGAAATTCACTTTGATGATGGCTTAAACCATCATAAATGATATAAATCATCATTGTCGTCATTTACCATCGCCATCATCCTCATCATCATCCTCATTAAAAGCATTGCTGCCCCTTTTACACAATCTTTATCTACAAGCCTTCCATCTAATAATTGTTAACTATTGCCACCAGTTTTTTCACTTGTTACTCAGAAGATGGATAAAAGGCAGAACCATGGGGATAACCCTGCGTTAATTACCTTTTTTATTCCCCTTTCTTCATCTTCATCCTTTTTCTGTTCATCTTCTCTATTGACTCAGTCTTTGCTGTAAGATCACCCAGATTTTTGATGAAAGAAGAGACCAGAAAAGCTTCAAGTAAAATACTTGAAAAACACATTTACAACTAGAAGACAGAGTCAATCCAAGAAGGAGGACAACATGACCAGTCCATTTTGGAACCAGTTTTCGGGCTTTAGGCATCTGTAAAATTTTGTTTTTTTTATTTTAATTGAGCCAGTTTTCTTCTCTACCTGAAGATGAAGATGAAGCTGATGACGATGATGATGATAAAGAAAAGAGGAAGTTGAAAAGAGGAAACTTTTAGCTCTGGTTACGCTTTTAACGTTGCAATGATTGAAGGGATATTACATTACTATGTATGAATCCATTTGTAAACTCATCTTTCGGCATTCATTACCAGTATTTTTTGAAACATTACATTATCAAACTACTGATCTATTAGCTGTTAGATTAGCTTGAGAAGCTAAAAGCAAACAAGTTTCTTGATTTTTCTCAAAATTCTTTCTAATCAATTTAATCATAACTAATAGCTTGAGAATTGAATCGGAAAAGAGTTCACAGTTTCATTGAAACTGATTGTCAATATTACAACAAAAACTGTTGTTTACCTTTGATATCAATGCTCAACACCATGAAAATGAGTTTACAAGATTCCACAGGTTTCACCTTTATAATTATCACTATTATTAGCTACAACATTGTTAATAATTGTGAAAAAAGACAAATATGTGAGAAAAAAAGGTCGACACTAAACTCAAGTGAACAAAAAAGTACAATTTCAATGAATAGGAAGTGAAAAGTTTACCTTTAATGCTCACCTTGACTCTCAATGTTCACCTTCAACATGTTGATAAAATTAGATGTTTGAATCAGAATTTTTATCTTTCTCTCTTTCTCTTTTCTCATCATCTTCAACCATCGTCACAATTCTCAAGCATAAACATCAACATCATAATGTTTATTAATATCGAGAAAAGGGTGAACCAGAAAAAAGGAACAAAATTTACCAGTATTTTGATTTTGTCTTCCGGGAACCCAAACGTTACCTGTTTACATGTGTGAAAAAAAGCTGGTTAAGAGGACAACCTGCAGAAGAATGGAAAAGAAGAAAGGCAAAAGAAGAAGAAAAAATGATGTTCATTGTTATCATCATCATTGTGAATGCTTTCTCTTACAACTCCACCATCAGTATCATCATATCTTTTTTTATACATATTAATATTATTAATATTTACTCTTTCACTTTTATCAAATTTTCTCACCATCTCCATCATAATTATCATCATCATCACCACCATCAATCTCATCATTCCATCATTTCTTTCTTTCTTCGTCCACTTCTTTTCTTCTTGAAATCTCTCAGATTTCCAATGTAAAAAAACTGATACCTGCAACAAGATCATCTCATTTCTCACCACTTTTCAATGAATGAACATTTTTTACCTTATTTGAATGAAAAAAAATCAAACTCAAAATGCATCAAGCCAAATGTTGTTTCTCAATCTCTTTCCTTCACAAACCCATTTTAAATGTGATATGAAAACAAAAAACAAAATTAATTTTAACCAAAAAAATTTAATAATAAACAAAAAGACTAAATGGCTCAAATAATTGTTCAAACAAATTTCTTATCAAATTTCTGGTAATTCTGGATAAGCAAAGACAAAAGTGGCTATTAATGAACACTAATCATTATAATTTACCCTCCTCCTTAAAGGTTACAAGATACTGATAAAGATTATGATGATGATGATGATGATGATGATGATGGAGATGCTGGAAGAGAGTAAGGGCAAGGCTTAGGCCGAGGCCAAGATTGACGGGCACGGCGGGTATTAATATACACAGATATGTTTCTCTTGTTAACCTTGTTGAGGAAGAAGAGTGAGGCTCAACTATTTGCCTGGGAGGCAACAATTTTCAACTTGTTTCTATGAATTTCAAGTTTCCTACTGCAACCTCATCATCATCATCAACAGGCAAAAACGTCTTCTTCTTCAATACTTCTCTTGTTGTTGGAATTTTCAACCTTTTCTCTTCACTTGTTATTCTGTTAATTATTTAACTTGCAATGAATCAAATCAAAGGTGGCTTTTTAAGCCTTCCAGACCATTTCAGAGGTCAATATATTACAATCTTTTTTCACTATCAGACAATTTATTGCAATTTATTTTCATCATTCCTATCATTATCATCATTATCATCATCATCATCATCCCTATCAGAAGCAACAACAAAAAAATAATATTAACAAATAGTAACATAAACAACACGAACAACGAACATCAAACTCAACATCATGATCGTCATCATCAACGGTGCTACCAACATTATCATCTTCATAGTCACTTGTCTTTATTGTTCCGCCTTTATTCCGGGTCACACATTCTTGAAGATGATCATCATCATAATCATCTTAATAAGTTATCAAAATTATACCTCGAAGAGGTCATTCATCTGTTGCTTGATGATGTTACTACGGACTAGGTTAGCTAATTAATATTTGAATAAATTGAAAAAAAAGTTAAAGTGACAGTGAATTTCATTTAATCGCCTCTTTCTTTATATCATTTGGCATTCACGTTTTAACCATTTCATTATTTTATCAACAATTTACCTGAAAACAAAAGTCTTATTCTGATAATATTGAAAAAATTATTCATGTATAAGGTATGGGCCCTAAAGTTTGTCAGTATAATGGCCCATATTTATTTGAATTTAACAAGTATTTAATTGAAAATTCATTATTTTTTGGAGATAATTATTGATAGTGGATCTTGTTTAGCAGCTCTGACTATTTTTTCACTAAATTTTAACTTAAATACTTTTTTAAACTCAAATACATATGTACCACTATACTGACAAACTTTAGGGCCCATACCTTATTAATAGAAAGGTTTACGTAAAAGTAAATGTTAACTCAATTTTGAAATGAATTTTTTCCCTCTTCTCTTTACTTATCACTTTAATTTGGTCATTGATTGTTCCCAATTGTTGGCTCATTAGGGTTGTTAACTAATTGGTCAGTTTAACCACGATCTGAGAAACGCTAAGCAATCAAAGTTAATCGATGGTCATCATTTATATACTTTTTTTGTATCAATTGGGACACAAGGAATGATTTGATAATCATGAGTTGTTTTTATTTCATTGTTTAATTTCAATCTTACAGTTGTGCTGGAAGCAATTAAAAATAAAGTCTTAAAACGTGTCAGTTAATCAATTGAATTGTTACGAATCTAAATTAATTGCTGTTAATCTTGAACCTCTTATGACTAGTAAAAATGTTAATTTTGTTGTTGAGCTGCTTTTTGTTTCAACCAATTTCAATGCTTCAACGGTTACTTTGCAAGTTGATTGGTTTACAATTAAATAAGAAAACTCGTCGTCTAAATGGTTATAAAATAGTGGTCAATTATAATTCAAATCAATAATCAATCAAGACAAGATGAAAAATAATTAATTATAAATGCTTAATCATTAATAATAAGTAGTTCAAAATACTCATAATATTACTTGGAAATGATTATAAAAAATAAAAATAATTATATTAAAGATATAAAAAAAATACAATCTCATTTAAATGATAACTTTCAACAGGTAAGTATTAATTTTTGACAGCTTTTAATTGCAAATAATTTCCGATAATAGTTTTGTGAGTTGCTTCTCTTGATCGCTATCTTTTTGCTGGTTTACTAATAAAACTATCCATCTTTTGTTGATCATCAACAACAAACTGGTTCTATCGTTGGTCCAAGCGAAGTGTTTTGTTCAATTTTAAGGTTTAACTTATTTTTTTTCGTTTATCACAATTTCCTCATGGATTTAGCGTCCATTGATTTACCATTCATCGCATGAGATGATGGTGGAGGTAAAGGTGGTGCTATTGGCATTCCTTTACTTCCAAGGCTATTTCGTTGTTTAGAGCTTCTCTTGATACTTGCTGTTTTAGGGACATTTTTTGATTCCATACTTGTGTGTCCATTAAAATTTAAATTAGCCATTGATGCTGATAGAGATGACATCTCATTTCCTCGGCCAACTTCCCGGTAATCAATAAAACTATCTCTTGATCCATTATAGTGTCCACCGTTTGTTGTCCCGTGGCGATCAAAATTACCAGAGGAATGAGCTGATGATCGTTCCCTCTCTCTTTCACCGAAAGCAGAAGATGAGCCGTGTCTAGAATCATGGTGATGTGAATGGCGATTAGAATGGTGATGAGAATGATGATGATAATTGTGAAGATGTTCATCATCTCCCCTCTCTCCTCCAGATGAACCAGATCCTCCAGAGTCATTGGCAATTGGTCTACCTGGAGAATCGTCAATTGTTAAATTAGCCACACTATTTGATCTTGATCGATGTTCTTGTCTAATTGAGTAAGAAAAGGCACGCTCATTGAGATGACCCTTTCTCTTATATAATCCAACTGCTGATGGTGATGAATCTCTTTCAGTTTCCTCTCCTGTGGTTCCACCACCGTTTCCACCGCCATTAGGTCCACTACTATTACCTATAACTGATCGACTATTTCCATTGATTTTATCTTTACTTCGGTACTTGTCTCGTCTTGGTGTAGTTCCATAAGTAACTGGATATGAAACATAATGAGATTCTGTTTGTTGGTGGTGAGGATGATGAGGGTGATGTGAGTGATGTTGCTGGTGATGCATTGAATGATGGTGACCATGATAGTTGCTTAATGGTGTTAATGGTCTCATTGGTGGTATGTATATTGGTTCCTCTCCGGGACCAGCAAACATTAAAGGATATTCACCGGGTGCTGGTCCACCAGAGGAATGTCCTCGCCTTAATCGTGTTCTCACTGAATATGCTGTTGAACCGGGAGGAGGAGGAGGAGCACCTGTTGGTGGTCCCGGTAAAGGTCCATAAATAGTGTTATGAGGGTGATGTTGTTGGTGTGATGGTGGAGGTGGTGGATGATGCATAAGATGATGATGACCAGATCCCTGAGGTGACATTTGTGGCACTTGAACAAAATTAACTGGAACCGGAAAAGGACCTGGACCAGGTCCAATGAGTAAACTACTTCCATTTAAAATCATTTTAGATTTAGATTTCTTTTTCTTCTTTTTCAAAGAATGTTTGAGAATTTTATCGGCATGTGGGTGATCACTAAGAGCAATTGGTATACCAAATGGTGGTGGAGGAGGATGATTACCGGCTAACATGGCTGGATGGATTGGTTGTCCACCTCCTCCTCCTGGAGGTGGTGGACCCATATGAATTATCATGGGACGAGGTTTAACAAGACCAGGTCTCATGGTATTGATAGGACCTTCCCTAATATAATGTCCACTTGATAAGGGTGGTGGACCTCCGGGAGGCCAAGTTATTTTATAATTATCTTCATCTGGTGATTGACTAACCGTAGAACCGGCACCAATTTCAGAAGGAGCCGGATGGTGATTAATATGGCCATTTGTTCCTAAACCATGATGAGGAGGTGGAGGTGGCGGTAAATCTTCTAACAGATCACGAGATAAGTGAGTTGGTTGAGAGTCGTTCCAGTTATTGTCTGATTTATCGACTGTGTCTAAAGCCGAAACAGACCTAGACTTTTTAGAGGTCAAATGACTTCCACCTCCGGCACCACCCACACCAGATCCAATGTGAGAGTAAGGATTTTCCTCTATTTGTTTGGCATACATTGAATCAGCATAAGCATGGAAACAACAGCGAACTAAGGCATTAGCTGCTGGCTCACGTTTACAAATAAATGCGTGACACTCAAGAACTTTAATGCCGGTTGTACGACGTAAAATGCATGCAAATAAAGGTGGATGACCATTATCAGCACCTCGAAGAAATGGACTATCAAGAGGAAGAAATTTGGCGACTTTATCATAATTTTTATCACCATCACCATTATTTAAGGTTGATGAGTTTACGTGATTATTGATATTATTGGATGATGTTATTCCGGTTGAATTACCGGAAGATGATGATGTGGTAGCTGGCTGTTGAGATGAGTTAACTGTTGGTGATGTCACTGTATTGGGAATTATTCCATTAGTATTATTATGGCCTGAAATTGAAGGTATAACAACATATCGAACTGCTGCACAATAGTGTAAAGATTCAATTGGGAAAAATCTTTTCACCTCACGTCCTGAATCGTCAACATTTTCAATTAAAATCCCATTGGACCACACACTTATCCATGAATCAATGCCTGCTGACCCATAATCAACAAGGCCACTTTCAGGATATAAATCACGCAAAGGCTCTTGGATACCTTGAAGACCATCTTTCGTTGCATGGGGAACAGATGAGCCTAAGTACATTACACGACATCGACAAATTGGAGTAGTACCATCATTTGAGCTGCGCTCTTTACCCATTTTTAAAACGGTTTCTCAGTCTATCTTGGTACTTAAAGTGTAATAAAATATGACAGATACTTCTAGATTATGAGCTACCAACAACGAAATTACCAATTATCCTTTCACAGGTGAATCTGGAGGATCAACAAAAAATGAAACATTAAAATATATTTGGGTTAGATTGAGCAAAAATACCTTACAAACTGTAAGTCAAAATAAATCACTCATAGACAGAAAGTATAAAACAACAACAGTACCAGTCATCAATTAACATGTACCTAAAATTTTTACCTAACTTAATACTAATCTTGAAACAAATGATTGAAGAATGATGACTTCATGAGGAAAAGCATATCTTTTAAATTATTAAACTTTCACGATTGAGGCAAACAGATTAAAAATTGATATGACTGGACATTGAAAGTGTTTTACAGGGAAAATGAAAATTCTGATTGAAGTGATAATGATACTTACTTACAATAGATGAAAACAAAACAGCAGTAAAAAATGAAAGAATTCAAAATTGATAATCACTTTGTAAACATTTCCAGGTCATTTGATGTTGACCACTATAATCAAAATTTAACGTCATTGTAACGAGTAGTAAGAAAACAAGAACAGTTAATCAGTTAATCATCACAAAAAAACAAGAGAGAGGAAAGGTCACAACAAAAACACAGAAGTCGTTGAATCAGGAAAAAAAGTAAAGAAGCAAAGAAGAAATGTCAAATAAGAAAATATTCACAATGAAAAGATGTAAACTTGAGGTTAACTCATGAGTTAACCTTATGTCTGTGGTATAATGAGTCAAAGGTTGAAACCCAAAGTTGCCAAATGACAAATCGGACAAACCAAAGAACCAGTTAATAAAGTATTTATATTCGTATAGAAATAGTTTCAATTGCGACTAATGCTATTAGACTCAATAACTTTTGCCGAGTTGGCTACTTTTCCTAAAAAACTCAATAATCTTTTCTTCTCTCTCTCTCTTCTCTCCTTTTCTCTCTTTACCAGATCAAAATCCCTCCCTTTACCTTCTTCCTACCTAGTCCAGGTTCCTCTTTCTGTACTATCTTCCACTTCTTCTTCATCATCACCATCTTCTTGTTCTTCTTGTTCTTCTGTAGCTTCTTTTGCTCGTTTGCGCTATTTTACCTTTTCTAACCTCTTCAATTCCTAAAACAAGAGGAACTAGTTCTTTCTTTTTCTCCCTCTCTTTCGCACTTTTTCTACCTGTCTATTAAATATCTTTTCTGGTTAATCTGGTTGTTTTTTGGGTTCCTTTTATTCACTGTAAACAATTTCAATTACCATCTATTATTAATCACAGATAGTCCAAAATGTTGTTCAATTTGAATCTTTAAACAAAAAAAGAGAGAAGTAACGACAATAAGTATTTCCAATAAAAATATTTTCCCATTTTCAACTAGTTTTTGCTTTTTAGTGACAATCCAATCAAATAAATTATATTATTATTCAACATGACTTAATATTGATAGTAATTTCAATGATACTTTTATCCCTTAATTACTAACGCTTTTCGGGTTTTGTTATGATGTAGATATTTTAGTCTTAAAATTAAAATAGTAAATTAAATCATAAAATAAAAAAAACGGATTGAACCAGTTTTACATGAAGCTTTTGCTGCATGGTTTAAGTGGTAAAGAAAATAAACAGAATACTTTGCATGATTATCATGATGATGGTTAATGTGTATCAAAGTTAAAGTAATAACAACAAGATAATCAATGAAAGTATAGAGTGGAAAACATAAAGTGAATTCAGCTGTATGAAGTTTCTGATATTTTGCTAATACTAAATCCTTTCCTAAGAACTTCATCTTAAATAGCAAATGAGCTTTCTGAAAACTCGGTATTTAGAAAAATACATTTCTACATTTGTTTCTGACACTAAAGTTATGATGATTTTGATCACGCTTTACTTAATCTCATGTGGAAATTTCTGACACAGAACATGATGAACGAGATAAAGTTAACGAACCAAATAATTTATCTTAAAGTCCAGAGAGTGTAGAAGCTAAACTAACCGCTAAACCTCTTTAACCACTATTTAATAAACAGTGATGGATATACATGGATGTATCTCTGTGGAATCCTTTGAAAAGTCAGTTGGATTCCCAAAAGTTCCAGAGTAGTCTTTGTACAGAATCCAAACATTTATCATTAGCAGCAGGTAAAGAGTAGAGTGAAAACAATGCAATCCTTTGTCTGGCTTCTATCCATAAACAGGGTCATCGATTCCTTTGAGAAACAATTCCTACCAGTTTATTAATTAGAGCAAGTTAAATCAACCTAAAATGAAGAATTAATAGCAACAATAGCAACAATTAGAAAATAATAATATAATAATTATAATAAAAGTCATTATTAGTACAACAAAAAGCCAATAGATGAAAGATAAAACCCGATTCATGAATAAACAATCAAGGCCAATCTATCTTTTTTTTCATTATTGATATATTAATACTTACCCCACCTTATTACCTTCACCTTTTTTTTATAAACCAATTTCCAGTCACTTTTCGGCTAAAACTTAAAACACGATAAAAAAATGTTGATCAACCTTATTTTTCACTTTTCGTCTCATAAAGAAAGGTACAGTTAACAAGAGATGGAAAGACAAAAAAATCAAAGTAAACAACAATTTCAATTCAGGCGCCTTTTTCCCATTCAATGTGCGTCAAGTGAATGCCATTCAGTGTCTGAAGCGCTAATTTTGAATGGAGTTTTGTCTTTTGACAATTCTTTTGATTTAAAAACAATTTATACTCAATAATATTCTGAAACTCAATTAAATAGCCAATATAGTCTGTCTGAGTTTATTGAATCGACTAAATACAAGTTATTAAGTAATTTCATTGTTAAACATTAATAATTAAGAATCAGCTGTACATTGCTAAGCAACAGCAAAGGAAAGTTCGGTCGGCTTTGATTTCATCAACTTCAATCAACAAAAGTGTTATTGTTATTATTAATAATTAAAAGTGTTCGTGTTAATACTTGACCTTTCAGTAGTGTACAATACTTAAATTAATCAATTACTGTTGATAAGCAAATTTAATATTTCAATAATGGCAAGTTTAACTTGGCACATTAATCTCATTATTTGATTGTAATGGTCAAATTAGAGCTTTGTCATGTGTGGTAATCAAGATTAAACTCAACCTTTTTAAAAATGGAATCAACAAACACTGAACTTACAAATTAAGTCTCAATTTGGATTCAACTAATTCAGTGTTATGTGTTTAAAATTGTCAAAAGATGTTAATATTTTGGTCAAAACTAGCCACCTACGTTTATTTGCCATTGAGACGGATTTACCTTGATCTTTGCTAAATTGTAACTGACTCTAATCAGTTAATCAACTCCCTCACCAGTAAACAATTATGAATGCTAAATTGAAAGACGAAAAAATTTAGCACTTATTAACCATTCTGGTTGTTTGGGTAAAAGCAGTTTTATAACAGTTAACTGAAGGACCTTCAAATGAACCTGAAAATGTTCAACAAACTATCAATCAAATCCGGTTAAAAATGTCTGGTTAACTATTTTTTTTACCTTTTCCCAACCATTTTAGATCAAGTTTAAAAGCTAATTCATGATCAATGATGACCAGTTTCAGAGTTATTATCATGATAATCATATCATTATTAATAAACAAATAACAGTATAATGGTAATGATTACAAGTATGAATAAAGGTTGAAGCAAGCAAAAGAAATGGTTAAACAGCAAGAAGGAATAAAATAAAGTACAAAAATATTGTTTCCTCTTCAAATTTAATCACTTAACTGAATACATTTAAATATGTATTTATTATTTTCACATTTTCATCTCTCCTTTACCTACCTGTTCATTTGTTTACCTTTATATATTTAACCTTTTTACATTTACCTCTATTTATAAAACAAACAGATTCTGACCTAAAATTGATCTCAACTCAACTCGAGAAGCAATTGAATCTTTTCCGTTCAACATTAACCTCATCAGTTTACCTTCATTTGCTAAATAACGTTTATAACGTTGAATCAATTCAATGTGAAATAAGATATAAGCAACAATTTAAATTAAATTTAACCATTTAAATGAACCTAAAAAAAGTACAACTTATAAATATTTTAAAGACAAAACTAAATAAATGATTTTTAAAGGTTAAATTGATTGTTTAGCCATCAATTTTGATGGATTACAATTTGTACAATTTATTCATCACTTGGAATCAGGAAACACATTATTATCAATGCTTGAAATTAAGGGTAAAATTTAATTCAACCATTTAACAGTCCTAGTGATTTACCTCAATCATTCAAAAAACCGAAGTAATACAATAAGATTTTTTGACTCATTTCAATCAGATCATTCAATGGTTTAAATAAAATTTCATCAATATAATTATCTCATGAAAAAATTAATACCAATAACACGATCTAGACTAATGTTCAATATTGCAAGAGATGTTGCGATCGGAACCTTAAATTAAGATTAATTTGTATGCGTTTTCCCTGATCTTTCGACTTTACTCGTTTTCCCTGGAAATGAATCGTAGCTTATAAGTGCTGCATATTGAGTTATCGATGGTTTTGTTATTTGTTTTGCTATTATTTAGATATAAGATATAATGTGATGGAAAGCAAGTGCATCATAAATGAACTCAGAATTATCTTGATTTGAAATATTTTTTACTGATCAAATCAGTTCTAATCAAATACAAGTGCTTAGATGGAAGAAAATTGTGACGAAACAAAGAAATTATATTTTTATAATAATTTAAAATTAGTTGAAATGATGATAAAATTAGGTAAAGATAATGAATAAGCATAAACCCAGTGTAAAACAGTCAAGTACAACTGAACTCATTTGTTGCGATGCATCAAGCGACTGACATTTTTCGTCAGTCGCTTATAGCAAATTAGAAATATTTTATAATTTTTGAACTCAAGATACTCTTGATAACTCTGAAGATATAAAGGATGAAGTGTAATGCAGGAAACATTGTAGTGTTTACTTGATTCTGGTTATTTATATGAACTAAGTGAGTCAAAATGTTTCTCGATCATTTCAACGTAAACCCAACTTTATTCGACATATTTTGCACTTGTACAACTGTTTGGTTGATCAAGCATTTGTTCAACTTTATTAATCGACTTCAAAAACTTCCTCCTGGTCCATGGGGTTTACCCATTGTTGGTTATTTGCCATTCATCAAGAAAGATGCTTACATCCAAATGACTGAATTGGGTAAAAAGTATGGACCAGTATTCAGCTTTAAAGGTGGCCAGTTTGATGTGGTTGTGATTAATGATGGGAAAGCCATTGAAGAAGCTTTCAAGAATGACCATTTATTGGCTCGTCCGAATACAACCTTCATTCCTGGACAAGATCACTCAATATTTGAAATGTCGGGTGAAACTTGGAGGCAGCAAAGACGAGTTGCTCTAACGATACTTCGCAATATTGGTCTTGGGAAAAGTACGCTTGAAGAAAAGATCAAAGAAGAGATTGGTCTCTTTATCGACTCTTTAAAATCAGCACAGGGTAAATTGGTTGATTTTAGTGAAGTGAATGGATTGAGTGTTGCGAATAATATCTCAATCCTTATGTTTGGACATCGATTTGAATATAATGATCCTTTTGGAATTGAACTAAGACACAACATGAAGCAAGTTAGTGATAATGTTGATTACTTCACTAAATTCATATTTACAACTTCGCTAAGTTTTTTAATTCCCTTGGCTGCCCATTTCAGTTCTGATCACGAAAAAGTGACCAGTAATCAGAAGGATTTAGAAGACAAAGTCACAATAGAAGTTGCTAAACATAGAGAAAAACAAACAACTCATGAAATTGAAGATTACATCGATGGCTTCTTGCAAGAAATGGATAAGCAAAAGGATTCGAATACGAGTTTTAATATAAACACATTGCGAAGAAATGCTGCTGATTTTTACGCAGCTGGGTCAGATACTACAACGCATGTATTGAATTTCATGATGTTATATTTGGTTACTTATCCTGAGCATCAACAGAAAATACGAGATGAAATTAAGCAAACTATTGGATTCGACCGTCAACCAGATTATGCAGACAGAGCTTCAATGCCTTTCACGATGGCTTTTATTTATGAATCTTTACGAATGTCAACATTAGTTCCTCTTAATGTTCTAAGACGTGCTACTCAAGACACAAAGGTAATGAACTATTCTATACCTAAAGATACATTAGTTATTCTCAACTTCTGGGCTGTTCATCGTGATCCAAAACTATGGAATGATCCACATTCATTCAAACCAGAAAGATTCCTCAGTGAGGATGAAACAACAGTAGTAAAATCACCCTATTTGATGCCATTTAGTGGAGGCAAAAGGATATGTCCTGGTGCAACTTTGGCTTTGATAGAGTTGTTTCTTTATTTGGTCTCAATTGTACAAAATTTCCAGGTTTCAGTTCCAAAAAGAACTAAAATATCTGACGAATCAAAATATCTGTTTCTTAGAACAGTGAAAAACCCTGTGAAACTCAACTTCCACACTTTAAACGAAAACTAACAAATTTTCAAAAAGAAACCTCTTGACTTTAAAATAAGTGAAATCACACTGATATATTATCATAATATTACAACCTTTGTTAATATTTGTTTTATTCATTCAGTTTTGTAACGAAATCGCGTAGACTCATTGAAATTCATTAAGTGCAGAAAAGGTTTTGTCATTGGCTGAGCGATGTAAAGCGTGTAAAAAATCAATTCATTTGTGTAGCTATCAGTTTGACGCTGTCTTGTTCGTATTTTAAGAATCTTTTCGGATCCATGCCTTACCAAGATACCTTTATTTAAAATGAATATGACAATCGAGTGAAAAACTATTGTTCTTATTTGCTCCTCGTGAGGGTTTTATGCATTTTTGACATTTTTGAATTAGCCTGAAATAAAAACATCAGCATCTCATAGACAGCGGTTATTTGACCTAATGACCTTTTTATTTCAGGCTAATTGCTCGAAATATTCGAAATCGAAGTCATTCTTTAAAAAGTCTTTTTTAAAAAGCTTGACAACCCATTTTTTTATCAAATGTCCATGAAATTTAGTTTTGCCGATGGCCTGGACCTTTCAATTGATCTATGTTGGGTTATATTAAGAGAATTACATCTTTTTCAATAACTTTGAGGCCAAATTACACCATTTTTCGATTCTTCGAAGCCCTAGTATGAAGTTGAAAAATTTATGGTTTTTGGGTAAAGGCAAAATCAGATTTTGACGCCTTTGTCCATTTAAGGTCATAACTTGACAATTTTTGGTCAAAATTAATTCATTTTTGCACAAACTGTGCTTGAGAAGTGTACCTTTATTTCAACGGTTAAATGGTGCCTGTAAGTCTAGTCTAACTGACGTAATTCAATTCTAAAAAATTAGTGACAAACTTTATCGGTCATACCTTAGTAGAGCTTTATTTGGCCGCAGTTGAGTTTGTCCAGAACTAATCAGAGAATGTGAACTTAGTAGTCCCACAAAACCACAGCTTCACTTTTGTCGTGCATTGATTCGGTGGGTGTTCTCTAAGTGAGCGCATTTGCTGCTAACCATTGTTTCTGAGTCTCTCAATTGTCTAAACAGATTCAAGAACTAAGAACTTGCAAAGGCTAACATCATTCATTCATTTTCATTGATTAAATTCAATTCATGAGGAACTTACCGACTCTCTTTTTTCTTTTGCCTGATTTTAATAGTTTGTGAGAAAGGTCACTTCAGGACAGGTTCATTGTATGAATAGAAAGAGTTGGATCGGCCCTGCTCAAGATATTGATTTGATATTTATTTTGAATTTCAAGACAACCAGAACGACTCTTATCATCGAAGTCGAAATTTCCATCTCTGAACCTACTAAACCAGCGCCTAACAGTGAAACTATTGATTGGCACTTCACCGAATCGGTTGTAAATTTTTCCAGCCGTCCATTAAGAATTAACTCCTATAAAATAACTGAACAAATACCACTTTTTTGTCGGTTATTTTGGCCACACAATTCGAAAACAAAGCATGTACAGTTAAAACTGAAACAGTTAAATTGTGCGTCTTTTATATTTTTACTTTAGCTTTTTTAACCCAAGCAGATTTGACTTTGCTGAGCGTCAATTTAGTTATTGAATTTTTGTGCAAAAATTTCGACTAATAAATTACAGGAACTTATGAAAAGAACAGAAAACTAGACAAAAATAGGTAAAGCATACAGAGATATCGTTTTGCTGAACAGCAATCTTATAGTGAATCGATGTTATTATCACTTTTGAGGACAAGAGATGCTTGATATTACATTCAATACAAAGATATAAAGGATAAATGAGCATTGAAGTGTTTACTTCATTCCAATGAGTTGTAAGCGCTTCACATCTCAACATGTTTCTCAACGTAAATCCAACTTTATTCAACATTTTTTGTGCTTTTTTAACTGTTTGGGTGATCAAGCATTTGTTCAACTTTATTAATCGACTTCAAAAACTTCCTCCTGGTCCATGGGGTTTACCTTTTGTGGGTTACTTGCCATTCATCAAGAAAGATGCTTATATTCAAATGACTGAATTAGCTGAAAAGTATGGACCAGTTTTCAGTTTCAAATGTGGTCAATTTGATGTGATTGTGATCAACGAGGTAAAAGCCATTGAAGAGGCTTTAAAGAACGATCATTTATTGGCTCGTCCGGCATCAACATATGTTCCTGGATTAAAACGTGATCCTTCATTGATTGAAATGTCGGGAGAACCTTGGAGACAACAGAGACGAGTTGCTCTAACAATACTTCGTAATGTTGGTCTTGGGAAAAGTACACTCGAAGAAAAGATCAAAGAAGAGATTGGTTATTTTATCGACTCTTTAAAATCAGCTCATGGCAATGAAGTCGATTTCGGCGATGAAATCAAAACAAGTGTCTCCAATAATATCTCAATCCTTTTGTTTGGACATCGGTTTGAATATAATGATCCTATTGGAAGTGAAATGAGACGAAATATGAAACAAGTTATTGAAAATGTCCCATACTTCAGTAAATTTATGTTTATGCCTGTTATGCTTGTTTTTGTTTCCTTGGCTGCCCATTTCAGTTCTGATCTCAGAAAAATGACAAGCAACCAAAAGGAACTAGAAAAGAAAGTCACAAAAGAAGTTGCTAAACATAGAGAAAAACAAACAACTCATGAAATTGAAGATTACATCGATGGCTTCTTGCAAGAAATGGATAAACAAAAGGACTCGAATACGAGTTTTAATATAAACACATTGCGAAGGAATACTTCTGATTTTTATGCAGCTGGCTCCGACACTACAACACATGTACTGAACTTTATGATGTTATATTTGGTTACTCATCCTGAATATCAACAAAAAATTCGAGATGAAATCAAGCAAACTATTGGATTCGAACGTCAACCAGATTATGCAGACAGAACTTCGATGCCTTTTACAATGGCGTTCATCTATGAATCTCTACGAATGGCAACAATAGTTCCCCTTAATGTTCATAGACGCGCTGCTCAAGACACGAAAGTAATGAGCTATTCCATACCTAAAGATACAATAGTTATTCTCAACTTCTGGGCTGTTCATCGTGATCCAAATCTATGGAATGACCCTCATTCATTCAAACCAGGGAGATTCATGAGTGATGATGGACAGAAAGTAATTAAGTCACCAAATTTGATGCCATTTAGTGGAGGCAAACGGGTATGTCCCGGTGCAACCTTGGCTTTGATAGAGTTGTTTCTTTATTTGGTCTCAATTGTACAAAATTTTCAAGTTTCAGCTTCAGAAAGAGATGAAATACACGACGAAGCAAAATATGCTTTCCTTAGAATGGTGAAAAAACCAGTGAAACTTAATTTTCACACTTTGAAGGTAAACTAACATATGTTCATCAAACGATGTCCTGGCTTATAATCTTCTATTGGCCTCAAATTTCATTTAGCATTTTCATAAGTGCAGTGACACTGAACCACTACTAATTTTTTTGGATGCATTATTGATGTACTTTGAATACTTTGTTATTAAAATTTTATTTTTGTTCATCCAGTTCTTGTTACAATAGTTGAAGAAAGTATTAATAACAATTAAGAAAAACCTTGAAACAGTATTTTGAACATTGAACATTGAGTGATCAGTTAACGATTGAATAACTTTTTATCAAACTGAGATTCAATGTAATTAGATCACAAGAGCTACTTGTAAAAAATGTTACATAGATTTATGGCTCAATTTAAATTCGATCAACAACTTTACTCGCTATATCAAAGAGTTAAAGATTCTCATAAGTCCAGTGTTAAAGCCTTTTCTTTTATCCTCCCAACAGTATCGTTTTACTGTTCAGATGACTTTACAAAGCAAAGTTAATTTTGATTTTGATCGGGAAGTATATAAGGTAATAAAGATTAGCACCTTAATTAGTCTAAAGATTGAAGATATTGCAACTTCTTTGGTAGCAAACCAATTCAGTATCACTAACGATACTTCATATTAACAGAGCTTTTTGTTATTATGAAGCAGTAACACAATAAATGGACTGACTTTCGTGTTTACAACTTTTGATGAAGTCAGAACTAATAGTGATTTTGTTCATTGAACAAGAAATTCAATTACATTGTTAATCAATCCAGGAAATCTGGATTACAAAATGCTCTTCGGTTTCAATGTAAACCCAACTTTGATCAACATATTTTGTGGTTGTTTAATCGTTTGGTTGATCAAGTATCTGTTCAACTTTATTAATCGAATTCATAAACTTCCTCCTGGTCCATGGGGTCTACCCATTGTTGGTTATTTGCCATTCATCAAGAAAGATGCTTATATTCAAATGACTGAACTGGCTAAAAAGTATGGACCAGTATTCAGCTTTAAATGTGGTCAGTTTGATGTGGTTGTGATCAATGGAACTGAGCTAATGAAAGAAGCTCTTGTAAATGAACAAATACTCGATCGTCCAAAGGACTTCTTTACTCCTGGAATGACCAAGATACCTTCATTGGTTGAAATGTCAGGTGAAGTCTGGCGTCAACAGCGACGAGTTGCTCTAACAATATTTCGTAATGTTGGTCTTGGTAAAAGTAAATTAGAAGAGAAAATTAAAGAAGAAATAAACTTTTTCACTCGAAAAATTGATTCATTTGAAGGTAAAAAGTTTAACTTCGATGATTTGATTCACCTTAGTGTTGCAAATGTGGTCTCAATCATTTTATTCGGTCATCGATATGACTATGAGGATCCATTTGCAATTGAAATGGCCAACAGTTTAAAGAAAGTTAATCAAAACTTTCATTATTTCTATGGACTTACTTTTCTTCCATCATTTTATAACTTCATTTCTTCCTTGAGTTTTTTGTCTCCTAATTACAAGAAAATGGTACAAAATCAAATGCAACTCGAAGATAAAGTAACCACCGAAGTAAAGGAGCACCTCGAAAAAGGTGATTCTCGTGAAATCAATGATTATATTGATGGCTACTTGGAAGCAATAAATAAACAGAAAGGCGAAAACAATTATTCTTTTAACCTGGAAACTTTACGCAGAAATGTTGCTGACTTTTATGCTGCAGGTTCAGACACAATAGCAGCTACTCTTAAGTGGATAATGTTATATTTAGTTTTATATCCTGAATGTCAACAGCGAATTCAAGATGAGATTAAAGAAACAATTGGATCTGAACGTGAACCTGAATATGCTGATAGACAACAAATGCCTTACACAATGGCCTTTTTGTATGAATCGCTCAGACTTTCGTCAATAGTTGCTCTTAATGTATACAGAAGAGCGACTCGAGAAACACACATTGCAGGTTACATAATACCAAAAGACGCTTTTGTCGTAATGAACTTTTGGTCAGTCCATCGAGATCCAAATCTTTGGGACGATCCAGACTCTTTCAAACCAGAACGATTTCTCAATGAAGATGGTTCTAAGGTTGTCAAGTCATTTAATTTCTTTCCATTCAGTGCTGGTAAAAGGGTTTGTCCTGGGGAAAATTTGTCATGGATGGAACTTTTCCTTTATCTTGTGTCGATTCTACAAAAATTTCGAATCGCAGCTCCAGAGGGAGAAAGAATATCTTTGGAATCGAAATTCATGTTCACAATATCGCCAAAGAAACCAGTTGAGCTTGTTTGTAAAAGAACGTAATGAATTAAAAATTATTCAATTTGCAATTAAACTTAAGAATTTTGAGTAAAATTTGATATTTTTGCACCAGAAAAGTGCATGATCAAAATATACAGCGAAATTCAACTCAAATCAATAACTCTCAAATGCGTTTCACTGTTAACAATTCTGTCAATCTCCAAAAATAATATGCAGCGAACAATGTCAAAACATTCGATCCAACAAATTAGATGTCTTAATCGAAATAATGCTCATCAAAAAGCCCTGAAAATGGCACTTAACACACTTATAAATAATTAGAAAAATAGTCAATAAGGCCGAATTAAAACAAAAAGAAATTTATTATTTTATTGAAGAGTCAGGGAAATGCAGAAAGAGGTCCTCATTCAACATTGAATTTTTCAATGTAATATTTCATTTTACTAAAAGCTCCTTCTGATTGTTAACTGGATGAATAAATCTCAAACGTCTGAAGTTTTTATCGACTTCGTAAACTTCCTTCTGGACCATGGGAAGTGTGTTCTCGAAGATGAGATGGAAGAAGAGATTGGTTATTTTATTGACTCTCTGAAATCTGGATAAAGGATAAAGAAGTTGATTTTAGCGAGTTGAGTGGATTGAGTGTTGCGAATAATATCTCCCGTAGCTGTCCCAACTCAACCAGCGACTTATTCTGTTTTCGAGTTCTCTGATAAAATGGATTTTTTATGAAATTAAATACATGTTCTATGATGTGATAAATAATGATAAACTGAAAATGGAAAGCAAGTAAATGCATAAATGAACTGATCATTATTTTATAATAATTTGAAATATTTTAATGCTGATCAAATCACTTCTCTTGGAGTACAAGTGCTTAAATGGAATAAAAATACGACAAAAATAAGAAAATATATTATTTGAGAATCGGTAATAATGGTAAAACTAGGTAAAGATAATGAATACAGATGAACCCAATGTAAAAACTGTCAAGTACAACTGAACGCATTTTTGAAATATTTTTTGTCAGTCCAATCACTCATAGTGGAATCATAATAGTATATTTGAGATATTTCGTACGTTTGAAAGTCAAGATGTGCTGAAACAGTTACAGATATAAAAATGTAATGTAATGTAAAAAACATTGTAGTGTTTGGTAAACATTAATTCTGGTATTTGTTAGAACTAAGTGACTCGACATGTTTCTCGATCATTTCAACGTAACCCAACTTAAAGTTGACAACTTTATTCGTCTTCAGACTTTCTTGGATTTATTTAGAGCAAAGCGTAGTTACTGAAAACTCTATACGATTTCTAAATGCATGGAATGCAAAAGGAAACTGATTTCGTTTTAACGTATTCATCCATGTTCATCAAAATGCTCTTTGAAATGTTTTGAAAATTGCTCAAAATTACAGGCATTTTTAATGGGCAATGAATACACACAAAGGCGTAACGCAAATTTTCTCTTATATCGTCGCAAACTTTGTTACTTCGACCTGTTTTCTCAAGGGGTCAAGTATCAAGTAACCTTCCAGAGGAGCGACTCGAAAACACGTGTTGCCGCATAGCACAATGCCAAAAGACGCTTTCGTCGTGTTGAATTTTGGTAACTCCTTGAGACGAACCTAATTCTTTCAAATCTAAAAACCATTGGCATCTGTGATCTTCGTACATTTTCACCACTAATACCGTAAATAACTCGACTTTTCTTGTTTTCCCTAAGATTGTATGCATTTTATGATTGCTATTTATTGAATGGTTTTGCTATTGATGATTATTTAGATATTAGATAAACTGAAAATAGAAAGCAAGTGCATCATAAATGAACTCATCATTATCTTGATTTGAATCAAAATCGTTTCACTTCAAGTGCGGGTGACTAGATGAAAGAAAGATGAAACAAAATAAGAAGATACAGAAAATAATACAGATCAATCAATGTTAAATAGTCGAGTACAACTGAACTCATTCCTTTCAAATATTTTTGTAAGCACAATGGCTTAAAGTTGCTCATATAATAGTAAATCAGAGATATTTCGTACTTTTAAAGTCACGATGTGCTTGAAACAGTTAAAGATATAAAGGATTTAGTGTAATGTAACAAACATTGTAGTGTTTAGTTGAATCTGGCTATTTGTTGGAACTAAGTGATTCAACATGTTTCTCGATCATTTCAACGTAAACCCGACTTTACTCAACATATTTTGCACTTGCACAACTGTTTGGTTGATCAAGCATTTGTTCAACTTTATTAATCGACTTCGTAAACTTCCTCCTGGTCCATGGGGTCTACCCATTGTTGGTTATTTGCCATTCATCAAGAAAGATGCTTATATCCAAATGACTGAATTGGGTAAAAAGTATGGACCAGTATTCAGCTTTAAATGTGGCCAGTTTGATGTGGTTGTGATAAACGAGGTGAAAGCCATTGAAGAAGCTTTAAGGAATGATCATTTAACTGCTCGTCCAAATGAAACCTTCATTCCTGGAGCTGATCCTTCATTAATTGAAATGTCGGGTGAACCTTGGAAACAACAGCGACGAGTTGCTCTTACAATACTCCGTAATGTTGGTTTTGGGAAAAGTACGCTCGAAGAAAAGATCAAAGGCGAGATTGCTTCGTTTATTGACGTTCTAAACTCAGCCTGTGGTAAAGAAGTTGATTTTAGCGAAGTGGTTGGATTGAGTGTCGCAAATAATATTTCAATCCTTATGTTTGGACATCGTTTTGAATATAATGATCCTATTGGAATTGAAATGAGACGCAATTTGAAGCAAGCTAGTGATGCATTTAAATACTTCAATAATTTCACATTTATGCCTGCAATGAACTTTTTCACTTCCCTGACTGCTAAATTCAGTTCTGATCTAAACGAATTGATAAGTAGCCAAAATGAATTAGAAAAGAAAATCACCGAGGAAATTACTAAACATGAAGAAAAGAAGGCAACTCATGAAATTTAAGATTATATCGATGGATTCTTGCAAGAAATGGACAAGCAAAAGGATCCCAATACAACTTTTAATATGAACACATTGCGAACAAATACTGCCACTTTTTATAGTGCAGGCTCCGACACTACAACACATGTATTGAACTACATTATGTGTTATTTGATCACTCATCCTGAATATCAACAAAAAATTCGAGATGAAATTAAGCAAACTGTTGGATTCGAACGTCAACCAGATTATGCAGACAGAACTTCAATGCCTTTTACAATGGCTTTCATCTATGAATCTCTACGAATGGCTACACTCGTTCCTCTCAATCTACTGCGACGTGCTTCTCAAGACACCAAGGTAATGAGTTATTCTATACCTAAAGATACATTAGTTATTTTTAACTTCTGGGCAGTTCATCGTGATCCAAAACTATGGAATGAAGCTGATTCATTCAAACCAGAGAGATTTCTCAGTAATGACGCACAGAAAGTAATTAAGTCGCCAAATTTGATGCCATTTAGTGGAGGTAAAAGGATCTGTCCAGGAGCTAATTTAGCTTTAACTGAGCTGTTTCTTTGGTTTCAATAGTACAAAATTTCCGAGTTTCAGCTCCAGAGGGAGAGGAGATATCGGACGAAGTAAACTTTATCTTCCTCAGGATGCTTAAAAACCCGATGAAACTCATTTTCAACTCTTTAAAGGAAAACTTATAATGTTAACGAAACAGTCTCTTAACCCAGAATTGTCCAATAGCTCAAATTTAATTGAAAATAGTAATTTGTTTACTAATGTTTTGTTACCAATAGTTGAAGAGAGAAACGTTAAATCATTAATTTAAACATTTGTTTTTTACTTGAAATTCAAGTCATAGTTTATTCAAAATTCTTGTAATTCAATATCTTTTACTATTGCATACAATAAATCAAAAATTACAAATCAATCGTTTTGAGGGCAAATTAATTTGCGTCGCACTGCAATTTGCAATAGTTTTTCTGATTTTTACCCAATATAAGATGGTAAATTTACTATTTCGATGACTCGAGTTGATTCTAGTTATTTGTAAAACTTTGTGACTCAACATGTTCACGAATTCGTTGTAAATCCAACTTTAATCAAATTTTTTGCACTTATTTAACTGTTTGGTTAATCAAGCATTTGTTCAACTTTATTAATCGGCTTCGTAAACTTCCTCCTGGTCCATGGGGTTTACCTTTTGTGGGTTATTTGCCTTTCATCAAGAAATATTCTTATAGCCAAATGACTGAACTCGCTAAAGAGTATGAACTAGTATTTAGCTTCAAATGTGGCCAGTTTGATATGGTTGGGATCAAAAACTTACAAGGGAAGGTGCCCAATTGGTACGATTTTTTTCGATTTTTTTCTGGTTTACATT